TTCACCTAAAATGTAATTAAATTGTAATGATATAGTTGGGAGATGATCACATTATATATAATTATTTATGGTAATTTTATATACTTATTTATTTACTTATTATTATACACTTATATACTTATTATATATTTTTTTTTTTACTTATTAATGATTTAATTCATCCATGTGTTTTTTTACCTTGTTATATTTTTTGTTATGCATTTTATATTGTAAACTGACTTGTTTAGTCTTCGGACTTTTTAATCAGTACCTGAATAAAACCAAATATCTATCTATCTATCCAATCAAGGAATCGATCAGATCATTTTTTTCCCAATTTGTATCATTAATTATGGTCTGTTTTCACTCAAACTTTCAGATTATCTTTAATGTACATCTAGCATTGAAGTCACTACCTTAGCATCATTTTCTCTCATCTGAACAATGTTACCAAGTCCCTTCAATATCCAATTCAATAATCATATGTCACAGACTCTTTCATATTATTACAACCTATTGTAACCTATGTACATATTCACAAGAGCAACATTGTCCCACTCAAATTTAAGGTTATCAAGTGTATGTTCATCTGATACTATAAAGGCCTATGCAAATAATGTACTTTATGATTACTCGACATAATTTTTGGTAAGAGTATTAAATTGGAAATTGCAGATTAATTTCTCAAATAAAAATATAAGAACCAACCACCAGGAGAACATTTGTGTACATTTAAATAGTATGCATTAAATCAAATCAAATCGGCTTTCTATACACTTTCTTCAAATATTTTGACTTTCTGTTATGACTTACAACAGTATGACCAAGGTGGGACCCCCATGAGAGCAATGAAATGGCTCAGAAGTCTTTACCTCAAGAGAAGTCATGAAACACTACCAGACTTCTCTCTCTGCAACCGACAGCTGAATACAAAGACAATGAGATGAAGTAAAAAAATGCTTGCATGGAGTATAGATAGACAATGCTGGTGTGTGTTTTGGGGCACTCTCTGAAAAGATATCAAAATATTGTCGTTTTTGTCAGTGATGTGAATCCTCCACATGACTTTTCATTAAGCCTGAGAAACAAACAGTGTTGGTTTGTGTTGGTTTCATGGAATGCAGATCTGATGATAGACTGATTGTTTATTTGCAACAGCAAATACTCCGTCTTTCAAAAAAAATACTAAAGGTACTGATTCATGTACCATATTGTTTTCTTACAATTATTCACGGCAAGGAATTGGGTTGTCTTCACAGAGTGTGCTTTCCAAAAGATGGTATTATTTGTCAATATAAGTTACACCTATATTGGTTAGATGGTTTATTTTACCTGACTGCTGTAAAGAAAGCATGTATATGCCTGTAAGTATAAGCATGCATATGATAGGTATATTTGAGCATCAAGTAACGCCTGGCTGGAATGTTCCCCAGGGAGTGGAGACTGTGCACACAGTGCAAAGTATTAAATCCAATGACTGGGGTAATAGTATATCTGTAAATTATTAAGCATTATATAAAAGCGGAGTATTATTATCATTATTTGCAGACCACATACAGGGGAAACATGCATTCCAATCAAGCAAAATACATCATTTACCATTAATGGATGATTAAATAAAAAATTTAAAAAATGTTTAATGAATAACAAAAATATATATTAAAGCGTTCAAAACTGAAAAATATCTGCCCAAAGAGGGAAAAAAGAAAAAGAAGAAAAAAATCAACCGACTGACCCAGGTGCTGGTACCTAAAGGGCAATATAACATTCTTTTTTTTTTTAGGAATTATGGTTATTTAGTATCATCAGTGATGATAGACAGAACCACAAGTAAATGGTCATATCAAGAGAAATTCTTTTTGGATGAACAAAATGGATATAACGTCATTTGTTGTTTGGGACACATCAGTGGCGTACCTGGGGTACTCCGTCAGGGGGGGCAAGCGACCGTCACAAACAAAAAAGGCGATGCTAATTTTCACTTCTGGCGAGCGAGCGAGCAAAAAAAAATCTTTAAGTAACGTTTGGTATATAAACTGGTACTGTTGCAAGTTGGGGGTGGGAACATTCACTTGTTAGCGACGTTAATTTTATTTTTTTGCAAACGAGCGTAGCGAGCAAGAAAAAAAATCACTTCTTTTTTAATAATTGCTACTTAAACTTGGTTCAATTGTCCCATGCAGGGCGCGGGAACAATATTGTGTTTAGGGTGATTTCATACCCATTTTAGCTAGCGAGCCAAAATACATCTTTCACTCAATGAATTGCTATATAAAATTTGTTTCATTGTTGGAGGTCGGGGGCGGGCACAATCGTGTTTAAGGCAATGTCAATCCCATTTTGGCGGGCTGGCAACCCCCTGCATTTCTCTTTTAAATGATATTGTAGCAGGTTAGTGGTAGGCACATAATTCCACGAGCTAGCGAAAAAAAATCACTTCTCTTTTATAGGGAAAATATGGTACATAAAACTTGGGTTCATTGTTCCATGTCAGGGACGTGATTATTAAAAGCGGTGTTATTTCTATTTTGGCGAGCGAGCGTAGCGAGCGAGCAAAAAAACCACTTCTCTTTTATAGGGAAAATATGGTACATAAACTTGGGTTCATTGTTCCATGTCAGGGACGTGATTATTAAAAGCGGTGTTATTTCTATTTTGGCGAGCGAGCGTAGCGAGCGAGCAAAATTTTTGTAATGATAATTGGTTCATAAATTTCAGATTTTTTTGTTGCAGGGCAGGGCTTACACAATCATGTCTAAGGTAATGTAAATTCCGTTTTGGCGAGCACGAGCACACCAAAACTTCTTTGAATAACGTTTGGTACATAATTATTAACTGGTTGTTGCAGGTTGGGGCGGGCACGTTAGCGGTGTCAATTCCATTTTGGCGAGCGAGCATAGCGAGCGAGCAAAAAAAAAATCTCTTTTAATAGAAATTAATAAATAAACTAGTTTTTATTGGTGCAGGTCAGGATGGACGCAATCGCGTTTAACGTGATTCAATTCCTTTTTGGCGAGAGGGTGAAAAAACTCTTCCATTTTTAATGATATTGTTGCAGGTCAAGGGTGGGCACAATTCGTTCCTGTTTTCACGAAGTGACGGCAGTGAGGAAAATCCGTCACTTCGTGAAAATAGGGACGAATTGTTTCCAAAGCAATATCTATTCATTTTATTCGCGAGCAAGTGTAGCGAGCGAGAAAAATGAATTACTCTCTTTTAGTAACATTTGGTACATACACTGTGTGTTATTGTTGCCATGGTTGCAGGTCGGGGCCCGTCGGGGCAGGCACAATTGTATTCTAGGCAATGCTAATCCTTTTCTTTTTTCAGGGGGATGAGCAAGTGAAAACAATTAATACAAAATAGGCTAGCAAGCAGTTCGCGCCAGCGAAGAGTTTCGAATTTGTTATATCACTTATATTTTCCTATTTTCATTTGTCTTAATTTTTCAGGGCCGTATGCGGAATATTTTTCTGGTCGGGGAGGGGGAAAGATGCGTTAAAAGTTTTCGAAGAATCTCAAAAGCAAAAGGAGTGAAGGGAGTTCGAGCGACCGAACCTGGTCATGAGGGTACTTTTGCATTTTCAAAAGTAGAATTGAAGGATTTGGTATAGGCCTACACTACATTTTCAGGAAAAAACTGTACGTTTTCAAAATATCTGGGGTCAACTGCCCCCCCCCCCCTGGTGCGTACGGCCATGGTCTTTTTTTTTTAATTTCCTCATTTTTTTTCCTTTCCTTTTCTTTTCCCTTTTTCTTCCTTTTCTCTTCTTCTTCCTTTTTTCTTTCCTTTTCCTTTTTTTCCTTTTTTCTCTTTCTTTCCTTTTTTTCTTCCCTTTTCTTTTTTTTCCTTTTTTCTCTTTCTTTCCTTTTTTTCTTCCCTTTTCTTTTTTCTTTTTTTTCCTTTCCTTTCTTTTCTTTTCTTTCCCCTTTTTCTTTTTTTCCCCTGGAGCCCGTCAGGGGGGGGGGCACTCTGCCCCCCCTGCCCCCCCCCCCATAGGTACGCCAGTGGGACACATTGGTGCACAAAACCACCTATCACCTTAAATGTGTATTATGCATGAAAGAAGGGAGTTTTTATACATCCATACATAACTTCCATATGCAGCAATTAACAACTAGCAATGTTAGGGGAAATGAAGCAAACATTACATAAATGGGAGAGATGTACATTCAATGTTTAAACCTGGAATGCAAAGCTCCATGGTTTGAAGGGTTGAGAATATATATATTTTCACCAAATAATCAGAAGAGCAATACTTGAACGAAAAATGAATAGGACGGGAATATAATTTTAATGACAATTTAGAAATCAAACCACCATGGGCGAAAAGTGACAAACACAGATCAAGTTGTTCCTGGTACTATTCTTTTGATATGTATCAAAGGAAATTTGATTACCATGAGGATTAACAATCTATTATATTCTAATATAAACTTTGTTGTTTTAATTCAATCAATTCAAGCTACTAAAAACACCCCCAAAAAATACACCCACATCAGTGCAAATTATGCAAAAATAGGAGTCTGAGTTTTGACCATGAGAATAATGCTGGTATATTTTGAAACAAATACAACTCAATTATTATTATTATTCTGTTTTTGTGCCAATATTCACCCAAATACAGGAAACCAACACTATTTTACAGATGAAAGACAATTGATACATATAATTTATACTACCAAAATTTGTTTAAATTTGTATATACCTTCAATCAAAAAGAGTGTGACAAATTGTTTGTATACCGGTAATACAAATTGAATAGCATGCTTTTAAGGCTATATTTTCCCTATGCGGTAAATAAATGAGTATATCTTTATTTCATTCACCAACTTTCAATTTAATGATAGCAATTTATTTTCCAATTCACGGACTTGGTAAATAAAATCCTGATATTTTCTATCACTTATAGGAGCAATTTTTTGCTAACTAGCTTGACACCAGAAAGTTAACCAGGTAAGAAACGTTGTATCCAGGTGTCACCAAGTTATCATGCAGATGAAGAAAAATCATCATTTACCTTTGCTTCTAGAAGCTTGTCGAATCGTGGTCTGATAAAATAGAGGACACCATCCATAGCGCCCTCTAGAGTTAGCCCTCGGATGAGGAGGATGAAAAGGACAAGGAACGGAAACGTCGCTGTGAAGTATACCACCTGAATGGAAACAAGATAAATTCTGAATTGTTCAAATTTATCCTGTAGAAACTGGGTTTTTTTTACTCAAGATTTTACAGTGGGGGACATAATGACCCCCCCCCCCCCCCTCCTCTCTCTTTATCTCTCTCTCTCTCTCTCTCTCTCTCTCAAGTAATTATGTTTCTTTTTCCTTTGATAGGAAGGTAAAATTCTGAATCTCGATAGTCTAAGCACGAGCGTAGGCAGAAGTTAGGGATGGGGGGGGGTAATGCAGGGATAATGGGGGGATGGGGGCAGGGAGCAATGGCCTGCCAATAAATAAATTTGAGGAGTTTCCACCAACCTTGCCAGATGTCTTCACTCCCTTGATGATACAGAGATAGACAATGATCCACACTGCTATGAAACAGAGAAGGAGTTGCCAACGGATAACACCCATATCATGGAGACCATCAGTCTGGTCTAACACATAGTACCTATGAATCAGGCAAAGAAAATGGAAAACAGAGGGAAATATATTGGACCTTATCAATAATAATAGAGGTGATGTACGTAGTCAAGTAGTTTACACACTTGACCGGAGATGCGAAGGTCATGGTTTCGATCCCCAGCATGGCACCAATGTCCTTAAGCAAGGCATTTTATCTACATTAAGCTCATTTACACATCCCAAACATCATTTTGAAAAATCTTCCATTTTTTTTAGACTACTATTTCCACTACTGGAAAAGCCCATAAAAACACTGGTGTTTGCTCAGTACGATATTTTGGTGAGTAGTGTGCATGAGTGAAATGTCGCTGCTCGGCATGCGATTGCATGGAAGCAAGAAGAGTCACGTGATCATAACCAAAATCCAGAGGTTGATTTCTTTTGATTTTAGTTTTCTTTGTGTTTGCCAGTGCAACTACTGATGAAACACCAGAATATGAGAAAAATCAAAGATTTCTGCTTGCAGTGTGAACATTTTTTTTTAAATTTTCAGTATTTAGTCTTACTCTTAGTTGTGCAAATATAGCTCGAGTGTAATAAAGGGATCTGTAAAGATAGGCTTTAATGAAAATTAAAGGCCAGTGTCTTAACTTGGTAAATATTTTGTTAACAACTCAGTGACAAAACTTTGTAAATATTGTATTCTTATAAGCTGCACATCTAAGGTTGCGTTTATCGACCAAATTTTTGGCTAGAATCAGGTTTCTCAAACGTCTCTCAGGCAAATTTAGAAGGTTATAAACGCAAAGCCTTTTTTTAAAGGGCTTTAGATATGGGCATTTCTAAGGACGCAAAAAGGTGTGTTTTGAATGTGACATACAGCCAGAATCACGTTTCTGAGAGATCGATAAATGCAAAGCTGTTTTGAACCTCACATACAAATAGGAATTCCCAGGCTATAGTTTCCGGTTCGGAGAAATAGCGCTGAGCAGCTGCGAAGAGACAAGGCCTTTATTGTGAATCGTGAAGAGTCGATTAACGCAACATCCCGCAAATCACGATCGTATAGTGGGGTTCGATAGTGGGGTATGATAGTGGGGTACGATATGTACATATCTAGTGGCAAGCCCTGATAAACGCGCCCTTAGAAACATTTAACAACTCAGTGGTCCTAACTTTGTAAATATTTTTGTTCTGATAAGCTGCAAACCTAAGAAACATTTAACAACTCAGTGGTCCTAACTTTGTAAATATATTTTTTCCCTATAAGCTGCAAATCTATGAATCAATTAATAGCTCAAGTGTCCTGACGTTGTAAACATTTGTTTTGTCTTATTGCATTGTGTTGTTTATCAATTGATCATGCTCTGTGTTATGTAACTATGTTTTTTTAATGAAAATGAAAATAAAGACTATCTCGTAGACTGAATCATTTATATCTACTGCAAATGCAAATCAATAAAAGTAATAAAATTACACATTGCTCAAACATCCTTGAGATAACTACTTGTCTTTTATACAGTAGGTTTGCGGTTGCACCATGTGTGAGAGAGAGAGAGAGAGAGAGGTTTGAGGAGTCCTGAAAAGGACTGTTTGCTATCTTTCTTATCTTTATCTTTCTTAGCATATAGTAGTCCTGAAAAGGACTGTTTGTTATCTTTCTTAGCTCAAACCTCTCTCTCAGCCTTTTCACACACAGCTAAAATTCTATAAACATGACTAGTATAAACGTGTTTCGAACGTGTTTAAACTAATCACGAGCCTTTCACACACAGAAATTTCGTTGCGATCGTTAATAGTTTCGTGATTAACTACTGCTCGTAAAATGCGCAGTAGTGCCATTGCGCATTGAAGGTCATGTCATGTCAATCAAAGCGCACGCTCCATCCAGTTTAAACACGTTTAAACACGAATTTCCTTTCACACACAAAATGTCAAGCTCTCTAGATACGAACTTCGTATCTGCAGCCTGCTTTTAGGGGCGTATGGATCGCGACTTCGTATCTATCCCAACATCGTATAAACGATGTTCACACGGGGAAATTTTGTCTATAAACATGTTTAAAACTGTTGAGTGATTCTAATCATCTCTAGATATGATGAATTTTAGCTGTGTGTGAAAAGGCTGCTTCTCTCTCTCTCACACACATGGTGCAACCGCAAACCTACTGTATATCTACATCACCATGCAAGCCGACACTTACAAGCAGCATCTTACTTGTCTTTTGTTTACACATTCGTTTGACACTTTCAATCATTTATGGTTTGATTTATATGCCATTTACAAATATTGCATTTTTTAAGTCTTACATCATGTACTATAATTTAGATAGGAAATTTATTGTGACAGTACAATATAATTGGATAATTAGCCTTATAAAAATTAAAAATAAATCATAAAGCTGATGGGACAATATTTAAGGATAAACAAAGCTCCTAACATTCTACATGTATTTTGAACATATTAAATAACAAGTACATTTTCTTCATTCTCTGAAAATTTCAAACCATTATTTTTACACAAAAATGTTCAAAGAAAAATTTGACAAGAATTTTAACGCATGGACAATTGGCTAAATCCAAAAGGTGTCAGCTTCCAACAAATTACACTGTACTGTTCCTTTTCTCATGATGATTTCTAAGTTTAAAATATAAAGCCAAGTGTATATTGCAGATAATGTGCAGGTACAGAACATCAACAAAAATGACACATAGTTACACCAATTTCTTCTTCTTTTCTACAGGATTAATCCAAGATCAAACCATTACAATACAAAAGACTATATCATATAAATATATGGCTCTTGCATACAGATAATGTGCATTAACAGAACATCAACAAAAATGACACATATTACACCAATTTCTTCTTCTTTCCTACATGATTCATCCAAAATCAAACCATTACAATTCAAAAGACTATATCATATAAATATATGGCTCTTGCATGCTAAAAGACTTAGAGAAAGATAAAAAGATAAGATATCATATTAGGTAAACATACTTGAACCAATAATTGCACTTGTGAGCTTTGAAATAGTAGAGAAACAGGACAAGTGTCCAATGTGACTTTAACCTTTGAAGGCAACCACCCTTGCACGTGAAGAACCCATTACAGAGTAGGGGGAAACCCCAGTGTAATGGTCCACCTGCATACCCCAACCAGGCCAAGTATACGGCATCTGCAAGAATCTTCAGTATTGAAGGAGGCAGATTATCTTAAAGAATAAGAAGAAGACAGCAGCTAACAAAATGCTACCTGTTTTAAATGAAGGTGTGCACTGCCATCAAACATTAATAATGGACAATAATCAAATATTGAAGAACACATTCTGAAATTAATAATTGATTGCTGTTAATAGCCCAGTATCTTGTCTAGATAACAATAGCTACATATACTCTGCAAGCAAAATTCATTGATTTGTCTCACATTCATGTGTTCTCTTTGAAGTTGCTAGGCAACTACTGTCAAACACAAATGATTCTGGGTTTTAGTCATGTAACTCCATCTCCTCACTTCTGTACCATTGCGTGCAGATCTAGGGCAGGAACAAGTCACTATACTCACCAAAAATTGTGTTTGGGTTTTGTAAATGGGCCTAATGACTGTCAATTTTGGTGCACATTATCAGAATTATACTATAGCCTTTTCACACACAGCTAAAATTCTATAAACATGATTAGTTTAAAGGGCTTCAAACTAATCACCTGTACATACGACATCATTCACACACAAAAATTTCGGTGCGATCGTTAATCGTTTTGTGATTAACTACTGCTCGTAGAATGCGCATGCTCCATCCAGTTTAAACACGTCTGAAACACGTTTAAACACGAATAACCTTTCACACACAAAATGCCAAGCTCTCTAGATATGAACTTCATATCTGCAGCCTGCTTTTAGGGGCGTATGAATCGTGACTTCGTATCTATCCCAACATCGTATAAACGATGTTCACACTGAGAAATTTTTCTATAAACATGTTTAAAACTGTTGAGTTCAACACGTTTATACTAATCAATCATCTCTGGATACAATGAATTTTAGCTGTGTGTGAAAAGGCTGATGGTCACATATGTTTGATTTTCATTTTAATGATGCCCTGGTGTATACCGAATGCATTAGTAAAATAAAATATTTAATGGGGCCTCTTGGCAAATCTGCCCCTGAAATTTGACAAAGAGCCCCACAGTAATGGCAGCCATGCTAGCCGGGGTAATAATTTCCAAAGCTCTTTGGAAGCGCATAGAAACTTTATAATGCCATATGCTCTATACAAGAACCGAATATTATTATCATTATCACTTAGAATGCAGATAGACAAGGTTCAGATTCCTGATCATCCTACTCATAATTGTTTGTATCGTTAGGTTTTATGAGGCCAGGATCAACATTTTGGGCATCAATACACTGAATGAAATATGAACCCTTTTCCATTAATGTTTTTTTCACTCCCATATCCAATAAATAATTGAACTTTGCATAGCTCAAGTGTGTTTTTTTAACAGCATACATGTATATACACACAAAAGTTATTTACTTAATGATTCATAGCACTTGTCATTGACCTATAAAGGTGGTGAGTTTAAGCTAAGATTAACTTTTCATGAATTAAATGTCAACAATATGAGGAAATGCAAGTAGACATAGCTTCTACCAATATATTTATGCCAATTGAAACCAGATATTTTTATTTTTTTACCATAAGTATTAAAAAAATTGTTTGAGTCTAAAATAAAATGAAAACATGCGGTATTTAAAGACGGCCAATCATGTTCACTCTGCTGCCGGTTCCCTCAGTCACATTGGCATTGAAATGACTCCAAACTGTCTCAAGACTGACCGAGTATTGGCCATTCAGAGTGATGATCGGTTTGTTCGGGGTCGGTATGGTTGAATTGATTTGGAATTAAACCTTTAACAATAGTGTTCCTTTAATAAAGGGACACTATTGTTGCATACCACAATCTGTAAGTCATACCAGTAATCATACATCCACAAACGAACTGTATAAGTACAAGTGGACTGTTAGCATGATATGAAGGAATGGTTTTAAAAGCCATGCACTCTGATCAAATTTCCACCTGTTGTTGTCTATCAAGGAAACTTATTTTATCAAGGTCTTTGTATATTTTAATTTCCTTCCACCAAAGAAACAGAAACCAAATCTTTCAACATCTTTACATCTCATTAAAAACAATTTAAAAGGTCATGGTAGTTAACAGGAAGGTATAGTGAAGGTGTTATATTGTTTTATGTCAGTTAATGCCCTTGTAAATCTCAGAAACTTGACTCATACTGAACTAAAATCTAGATGGTCAAGTGGGCCAATGTAACAAAACTGCCTTGGTGATTCATTTACTTTCATTTTCAGTAGTTTCCAGCTGTATGTTTTCATATTACCAGATGTTTTTCAAGGATCACGCTTTTGATGAATTTATTTATTTCACCACAGGTACAGATTTGGGAAAGTACTATTAGATAACTTTCACTTGAAATTTTGTTGCAAAGTCCCAGCCAACTTTCACCTATATTTTAGATGGCATAAGATGCAATCCAAATTGATGTCTTAAAAACGATGTTACATACTGTATTGTCAGTTGTCACCATACCCTTTTACAGTTTTGGTTCATGATTTATAGAGTATAACCAAATTAGATTTTGTTTTTCCCCCTTCTGAATTGAGCCTTTCTTTTTCAAAACCCTTTATCTGCCTCCAAGGAGACATTCTTAGTCTCCTCCCCCATGTAAGAAAGGTTAAGAAAGAAAACTCTCATACCTCCTTTCTTAGTTCCAATCAGTGCACCCTCGCTGCATCCCCCCCCCCCCCCCCCCCCCGTCCCCCCCCCCCCCCCCCACCACCCCCCATTATCTGGAGATAAATTATCCTGGATAGGCTATTGAGGTAAGTATAGAATGTCAACAGATTAAGAATATCTAAGTGGAGAGGGATGCATTCATTCACTTCAATTGATGTGGATAATCCAATCTCCAGACAACAAATCTTTGGGCATGATGGTAACCCTCTTGGTGTGGATGGCACATAGGTTGGTGATCAGAAAACCTCAATTCATAGTCAAAGGGGCTGTATATACAGTATACATAATAAAAAGTCTTATTAGAAAAAGTTATAGACTGATTCTATAGAGACCAGCTAGCCTAGCTTCACCATGTTTATGGTAATACCATGGTGATGTTGAGGATGATAGTTGGACAGTCACCTTTAGCCCTTGCTCATGATATGCTCCAGCTGCATTAGCAGTGGACTTGTTCAATCGTAATCCAGCTATCATTAGTTTGAAACTATACTCATACCTCTGTTTGGCCAAAGAGATACTGGTTTGGCTAAATGCAACATTTCATTTTAAGACATTTCTGTGTACAATGTTCAGACAAGTTAAAAATGATTAGTTATTGTACAGCTATATACAGGGAATCTTGCTAATCTGAATGGGTGCTTAGGTATGGGTCTCTTTGCATGACAGACAACATGGAAAGGAAGTATCATTTCTCACAAGAGTTCTGTCTTCAACCTAATAAACTAGGACCTGTTTCACATTTTTTTCAATGACAAAAGACATAAATCAGTGACAAATCTGCTGATAACCAATCAGAAGCAAGGATTTCAGTAGCTTATAACAAAAACTGTCATTTGTCACTGATGACAAGTTTTGTGAACCCCCCCCCCCCCCCAGAAGTGAGTGATTGAAGATCTTATGGTTGATTAATCTGCTTTACCTGCTTGCTAAGAAGCAAGTAGACCTTCATACATTCTTGTACATAAGCAAGAAAAATGAACTGGGACCAAAATCGTGAGTCGATTTTATCTGAAGGCCTTGTAAAAAAGTGACTGAAATACACACATTGTTCTCGATGGGGATAAATTCGACCTCTTTTTGTAGCATCAAGGCACCTCTTTTTATTGAATAGACCCATTCAATCTCCTTTGCTGATAATGGTATTTGGAAAAATTACCCCTAAACAAAAGTGACCATAAAGGTCAGTTTGGGCCAAAAAGTGACCCAAATGATTAATTCCTTTTAAGTAAGGTCAATGAGTCTAACCTTTTTGGAGTCAGCAGATTATTTTACCCTGGATCAGCTATTCAAACCTTCCCCACAAAAAAATCTGATTAAATCTCTTTATCTCCTATTATATATAACATTACCACAGCTGATATTTTTGTCGACTTTTTCCCATGAAGCATCATGTGAAATCGACTAAACACTGGTGTAGCTGAATGGGACTGTGGATTGTGAATCAACTGTATTGATGATGAAATTATGATTGCTCTCTGTGTGAATGACCCTGTAATAGAACACTTCCCAAATCCAATTCAAGACACCCAACAATATCCAAACCCAGTGGCAGATCCAGGACTTTGTCAAAGAGGGGGCAACAGAAAAAAGGAAGTCCTTATCTCAGAAAGGGAGCACATTCTTGGAGTTGTGTACGCAAGATATACCACTTGGGTTTCAAAAGGGTGGTACAACCCCACCCCCCCCCCCTCCCTCAATCCGCCTGTGTGTACACCGGCCTGACTGAGACTTGCCTCTAACGCGTATGTTATGAGAACTATTTAACGCGCAGATCACGTTCAGTTCAATCCTAGTGCAAAATAACATGCCCAGACTGGACTCATATGTCATCAAAATATCATATCTCAGGATGGATCTACCACTCTCTCCCTCCCTCCCTCTATTGATACCTAGGCATACTAAAGGACACCAATCTTGTACTTCATAGATTACAACTTTAGAAAATTAATAACTTGAATATTTTTAATCAGATTTTGCTCAAACTTTCACTTAACTGTTTCTTTTATTTTTACTGCTTTCTTAAAAACCATCTAGGGCCCCCAAGTATAACAGTATTTTAACTACTGATGGGGCTACTCTGTTAAAATAAAACAAAATAAATAAATAAATAAAATCTAAATATCAGGGTGGACATTTTATTTTACACATAATTTCTCTAAAAAAAATGAATACAGAAGAGCACATGTCCACAATGGACTTTTTCAGAGTGCATGCTATGTTCAAACTCTAATATATTCTTTCATTCTTTGCATCTTAATTGTCGTGGACTGTCTCCTGCTAGTTTGATTATTCCAAAACAAAATAACAGCTCATGGTAGCCCATGAATTCATGGCATTTCTGCACGTTCTGACTGCCTTTAAAAACTAAATATTTCCAAGGAGATTACCATGAATATAAAAAATTGAGGTAAAAACTCATATTGGTGGACATTTATTTTAGCCTAGAGTTCACACCTTCACATGAATTAAGGCTCACAATTCCAAACATTTATTGCATTACTCTAACGGTTCTTCATTCTGAAGTTTCATTTATCTGAAGGTTAATGATGCCAAAAATGATAACTAGCTTGATAACAATTTCATTTTCAGAACCTTCAGAATAACAAAACTTTAGATCAAGGAATCTTCAGACTATTGAACCTTTGGAACCTTCGGAAAAAGAGGATTTAACAGAGAAAAACATCTTACTTCCAATATTCTTCTGTCGCCCAGACCCTTTCGCTGGCATTGGGCGTGGCAGTGGACATGGGGTCGGACAAATTGAGAGTTTTGTTGAGGCTTAAGGAGCCCTCAAAGCAGTTTGGGGTGTTCCATGTGTGATTACAGCCCCTCCATGGGAGCTCAGATTGCATACTCGCAAACATGTAGAAGATGGAATAGGCCATGATGATGATGTAGTAGAAACAGAAATAGGACGACACCAACGTCATGGCGTAACCAATTCCTGTGATTTGAAAATTGGAAGCAAATGGGTGGTGAATTTCTTGATGCTTCTAAGGAATATTTATAGTCACTATGAACATGACTGACAAAGAAAGCGGACAAAATATACAGTTCATCAGGTAGACAAAGGAACATCCCTTCACTGTTATTATGTAAAAATGTGTAGAACAGGTGTCACATGCATATTCACCTTTTTACATAATAGCAGTGAAGGGATGTTCCTTTTTCTACCTGAGGAACTGTATATTTTGTCCGCTTTCTTTGTCTGTCATGTTCATAGTGAGTGTACTTAAATCAGGGGTGGACTGGGACTGAAATTTTGTTGACCATGGAAATCAATAGCACCCAGCACCAATCTAATACCTTGGTAATAAATGTCTGAAGAATCCTATATATTTTGGACAACACAGCATAAATTATCATCAAGCATCTTGAATTTTACAAATGCTATGGTATACAGTAAGCCTACCACACCCTAACAAACCATACCTTGCATCAAATTCAACTGTAGTCTAATGTATTTTTAATCTGTGCAATAGCCCTCATCAAAAAGATTTAATTCATGCAATTGTCAGTGAAACAGTCAAAATAACAAAGAAAAAAGGAAATTGAATCAATCTTCTCAAGATCATACGCACTGCAAACAGATAATACGGCATGGCAGTTTTGTTCAATCCTTTCAGTTATTTCTCATAATATTTCAACATGAAGGCAGGTGAAGAGTAATCATTTTCTAGTGACACTTCTGCTAAGATTTTTAAACTTAAAAAATGGCATATTTCATTATCTTTTTTCTCACCAATACCAGACCTCAACCTTCTCTTTATGAATTAACTACTCACCTTTGAAGAGTGGATTGATTTCCCACACTGAGATACATCCCAAGCTACTGAACTGGCCCAGTCCCATCTCCATGAACATGATTGGGAAACACACAATGAACAGCATTATAAAGTATGGTATCAAGAAGGCACCTAGGGAACAAACAAAGGTTGTGAAAAGAAAATTGAGAAAGGTAAAGAAAATCAGAATTGTATCAGTGTCAAGGGCTAAATCTTTATGTGTAAACAAATAATTATTTTCTTGGGATTCTTATTGAAAGTGTTTTTTTTGTGTGTGTGTTTTTCTTTTGATAGTCTTTTGGGGGACTTGCATTCCCTTCATCCAGATCGACCCATCTTCAGGAACATACATGGGAAAAGCATCACTAAGTATGGTACCACAAAGGCACCTGAAGGGTGAACAAAAGAAAAGAAATGATGAGAAATGATGAGAAATAACATTCTCTCTCTCCTCTCTCCTCTCCTCTCCTCTCCTCTCCTCTCCTCTCCTCAGTCTCCTCTCCTCTCCTCTCCTCTCCTCTCCTCTCCTCTCCTCTCCTCTCCTCTCTCTCTCTCTCTCTCCTCTCTCTCTCTCTCTCTCTCTATCTCTAGTCTCTCTCAGCTTCCGCTTCTCTGCCTCTCCCTCCCCTCTTTCCCCTCTCTCAATTTTTCTCCTTGTTTGCTGTATCCTTTTTTTGTGCAGTTTTTTTCAGGCCTGGCCTAACTGGAACCATGTTTGCCAAACTCTTCTAATCAATCGATGGTATGGACAATATATTTTGTATGTATCTTTTATGCCTTGTTACTTGTATAAAGTGATATCTGTGCACAGCAATGCTGTTTATAACATTTAACAGACTAAACAAACTGTATACTCAGTATGTCAACAATGATATTGTAAAATCTTTGTACATCACACTGTATAGAGTGGTGAAGTGTGACGTCATCAAAAATTTGTTTTTAGACTTTTTCAATTTTTTCTTCATATTCCGAAAGAACATCAAAAATAATGTCCAAATGTTGAAAATCAATTGAATATGTTAAGTATTGGCTGAGATATGACCATCTGAATGAATATGTGTCCTATGGGAACTCAGTGTTATATGCTCTGGCTCCTAACCATTAGGAGCCAGAGCATATAACACTGAGTTCCTATGGGGAGTATATTTATTCAGATGGTCATATCTCAGCCAATACTTAACATATTCAGTTGGTTTTCGACATTTGGGCATTATTTTTGATGTTCTTTCGGAATATGAAGAAAAATTGAGAAATTCTAAAAATAGATTTTTATGACGTCACAGCTTCGGTACTCTATAGCCTCAATTTGATTCTCAACATTTCAGTGTATACAAATTACAAAACCATTATCCTTGTGAATCTGGTGTATGTTTCCAGACAAAGGAATAAACTAAACTGGACTGAACAGAACTCTATTCTGACAAGGGCTAAATCTTCACTGAAGAATAGGCCTACTGTACATTGTACGTTCGCAGGGAGGGTAATATTTCCAGGACTCTTTTAGGCTTTCTTATGGAAAAGCTTTATCATCCCTACAAGAATGGTATTCCAGGGTTGTTTTTCTGTTCCAGGACTATTAAAGGTAATACAAAGTTTTGGTATGGGGTCATGAATTTGGTTTAAATGAAAGTATTTGAAGCATATGCGATCCTACAATATATAGTGATCGTTGTTCCGGTTGAAATCGAGTCTTAAGTTATGAAATTGTAAATAATAAACTCTTTATGTTGTATAGCTCCCTCTCAAGGTCAATATATTAATTTAGCTAAAAAACAACGTTTCTTGATTTAAATCGACCAATTGGCTATTCCCATTTGGAAATTATATATCACAACTGCATATTCTGAGATTTTCATGGTCGCAACTACCATAGTACGGCCGTAGGCGCTATTTGAAATTTATCAAAATTTACCGGGAGCACCGGTAAATTTTTCTCGAAAGCAGAAGTGTTTTAGGGACTAAATTTTCTAGGGCTTATAATACATCCACAGGGGCATCCAAATATATCAAAATTGTAAAGAATCACTATCCACCCAATTTTCAAAATTTCCCAAAACTTTGTAATACCTTTAATACTTGAGTAGCAAAAAGCATTGTAACACAATTTCCCCCTAAAAATCGGGTACTGGTACTTTCAGTGGTGGTGTTGTGCTGCATCCTATGAAAAGGTCACTTGTATGACTTCTTTTGATTATTTCTGAAGTGGCATTCAAGCAATTACCTTTACAGCAGATGATTATCTCTTTCATCCATTGTTCATGAATTCCATAGTAAAGACCATCTCTACACTTTGAATTCCAGGGGGAAAGCTCAGTAGCAATGTTACAGTGTTAAAAAACTCTGACCACTCCCTAATCTCTTAGTTTCAGTCCTCCCCTCTCCCCTTCCTCTATCTCTCTCTCTCTTTCTCTCTCTCTCTTTCTCCCACCATATTTCTCCCCTCCCTTTTTCTCTCTATTCCCCCTCCCCTCCCCCTCCCCTCCCCCTCTTCCAGGTATGACTAAGATATAACAGCCTTTCTCCTCTTCACTTAAAGGTAATACAAAGTTTTGGGAAATTTTGAAAATCGGGCGGATAGTGAATCTTTACAATTTTGATATATTTGGATGCCCCTGTGGATGTATTATAAGTACTAAACAAAGTAGCCCGTAAAACACTTCTGTTTTCGAGAAAAATTGAATATAAAAATTTACCGGTGCTCCCGGTAAAGTTTGATAAATTTCAAATAGCGCCTACGGCCGTACAATGGTAGCTGCGACCATGAAAATCTCAGAATATGTAGTTGGGATATATAATTTTCAAACGGGAATAGCTAATCGGTCGATTTCAGTCAAGAAACATTGTTTCATAGCTAAATTAATATCTTGACCTTGAGAGGGAGCTATACAACATAAAGAGTTTATTATTTATAATTTCATAACTTTAGACTCGATTTCAACCGCGACAACGATCAATGTATATTGTAGGAACGCATATATGCTTCCAATATGTTAATTTGAACCAAATTCATGACCCCATACCAAAACTTTGTAATACCTTTAAATTATGCTCTGTTAACTTACCTCCTCCATTCTCGTAGCACATGTAGGGGAAGCGCCACACGTTCCCAAGACCGATGGCATATCCCATGGTTGAGAGAAGGAATTCAACCCCACTACCCCATGTTTCTCTCGACTTATCTTCCTCCTCTGGCTTCTCCTCTACCACATCCACATTGGCTTCTAAAAAATATATTTTGAGAGAAAATTAATCAGATTTGAAAAAACAGGGTTACAATTTCATTGATGTTTACCCTTTTACAATACCAAATTGGAAAGACTAAAGGCAGGTAGTCAGGTACTATTAAAGCAACCTCCCCCTTTTGTTGTGTGAGCACTTTCTCATGTGTCATTTCAATTTATTTCTACCAAAGTGGGGGTGCACAACAAAGTCTGGCCTTAGGAAAAAGAAGTGGTAGCCAGGAAATTGTGAGCCAACTTCCCACCTTATCCAAAAAAGTAGTTTTAGGGCTAACCCTTCCAGCTGCCCAACAACAAATTATAGGGCTAGGTACCCCCCCCCCCCCCCCCACCTGCCTCCTCTCTAATTGTGAAAGGGTTAAACAAAAATTACAGATTTAAAAGAAGTAAGTTGTGTAATACACACTTTGCAATTTCCAATCTTCTTTTTAAGACACCACATTAATATTCACCAGGGGAATGTGTGCTGGGGTGGCATAATTCCTTTTTATCTTAAAATATTGAAATATTTCTAATCTACTTCCAAACACTGATAAAAAAATAAATGCTGAAGAAATAAAGGAGATTATTTTTTTCTTTCTGAAGGACGCTGCTTCTAGGTACCCTAATGCGATTTTCACTTCTAAAAACCCAAATAATTATTCTACTTATCCTATTCCGAAAGAGCAGCAAACCTTACACACAGTACAATTGAATTCCTTTCCACAGGTTGAAAAGAACCAATTATACCTATAGACACCCCCCCCCCCCCAAAAAAAAGGACACACTCACACAGAGACACTCCCTTCTCCCACCCCTATCATTACCGAACAATGCTTACCTGCATGCACTAGCCAGCATGCAGGAGCAACGCAGCCAGACCTATTCTCACAAGAGATTAGACCCCTGCAACTACCCCTTGTTGGAAATAATGAGATCAATCATGAGATGCACAAGTCAAAAGCTGCATGCATTTTAAATTTTGAAACCACCGACTATCAAGAGGTATTCCTATTTGGTTTTTAAATATATTTTGATCCTTAACATAACTGCAGGTACCTGGCACGTTGTACTTTGAAGAAATAGTAAAACAAATCTGGCATCATTTCAAATCAACGCACCGATGATACCAAACAAGGGAGCGACCGGCCTAGCTCACACATGGGAGGGTAACTCCGGGGAGCTCCGCCTTTTTAGTCTTACCTCTATGCTTCTCGTACTCGTCCCCCTTCTCGTCATCCCCACTCCTGTCGACAGGTGTATATTCTCCATTAGTACTCCCGTTTGCATGTGAGGATTCTTTTCCTCCTTTCCTCCATCTATCCATCGAGAAGATGGACTTGGAATTCGAGCCGGGCATCTTGAAATTCTTCCTTAGCTCATTCACTCTGACAAGCACGCTGAGTTTATTCAGAGAGTGCCGCGGCACGCCGGTGTCTCTCTTTATTCAGAGCGCTCTCTACACAAGGTACATGCGTGTCGGTAAGTCTTGTCAGTCAGCTGTGATAATTTGCCGGTTCACCACTGAATCACAACGGTGCGGTGAATGAATGATATGCGAACTTCATGAAAATTTCTCTTACGTAAAAATGCATGCGCACTCGTTCATCCAATAAGTCGCTGCACGAGGAGCAGGAGGGCATCCCTCCCGGCATCCATCACAATCAAACCCTGGCTAGCTTGTTTGTTGGTAAACAGAGGCCAAATACCTTTGACCCAATAAAATCGTGTCAATAAATAAGAGCAAATTTGCCAATATCTGTTAAAGGGCAATTCAACCTTTTAAAGACAGGCTTTACTCCGGGCTTCACTACTTCAGCCAGAAGGGATTAGACCACCCATCGAGCCAGCGAGGTCACTGTGACAGGTGGCTCATAAACTCAGCTCTCATTTAACATAAGAAAAAGGGGATCATGGGGGACCACCAGGCACTGATTGGGGAAGTTTTCTATATAGAGGGAGCAAGTAGCTACAAGTAGGACAGAGTGCCTTTAAATAGGTTCATTGGATGAAAGCAGGATAAATTGGATAGACAGAATAACCAGGGAGATGGAATAACCTAGCTTTATATAAACCGGACCAGTTATTACATGGCAAGTTGAAAGTGTATAAATCTGTAGAAACTGACTTTAAGTATGTGCTATCTCCCCTATTTTGGAGTTGCTGAACACGAATCTACCTGTTATCATTTTCTAAATAACTCTTTTGGCCGTTGTCATGGTCATGAAGTATTTTCTTTTAAAATAAGATATAATTTTGGTAATTATTTCCAGCTACCATTTGATTTTAATAACAAATTTCATGGTCATGGTCATGCTTGAATATGGCGATTGCCATATTAACTCCAGTAATTTCAGGTTTATTTATTTATTTATTCAGTTTTATTTAAAAACAGGGTAGTCTTTTCAGTACAAAAGGCCTGCTTTACAAAAGAGCCCTGTACATACAAAGACTTTAAAAAAATAGAATACATTGTGAGAAAACAAAGACAGTATTCAAACAACATACCATTTGAGATTGAAAGAAAGAAAAAATTAAAAACTAGATCAAAATGAACATAAGGCCTGAAATATTAAACAAAGTCATTTAAGATATTATTGATACAAAACAAAAGTCATTTAAGATATTATTGATACAAAAAAAATACAAATACAAATACACATGCCATAAAGAATATACATAACATCAAACGGGTAAAAGGTAAAAAATAAAACTACTACAGACTACACAACTACAAACAAACAAACAAACCTGATATAGGTACCAGTGCATGCATTAAAGTGATGAAGGGAGTGACTTAATTTTGTTTTTGAATAAGTTGCCGTGCGAATATGAGTCGGTAGATTGTTATAGATGCTTCGAGCGATGAAAGAAAAAGATCTTTTTTTTAAATTCAGTCTTGGGTTTCGGGATAAATAAGGGATTTAAGGTAGAATGACGAGTAACATAGTAAACTGGACGTTTATAAGCAAAAGGTTTTAAATAATAAGGGGCTAGATTATTGAGTATTTGTAGACGAAAATGCAGTAGTGGTAGTTGATTCTATTTTCAACACTTTGCCATTGAAGACTGCTTAAAAGGGTGTCTTTTGGGGTTAGATAGTATGCATTAAGGGCTAACCTGTTCTGCGTCCTCTGTAATTTGAGTAAATCTTTCTTTTTGCACTTGCCCCAAACAACTGAACAGTAATCTATATGTGGAAGAATGAGGGAGTAATAAAGATGTTTCAGTAGGCGTTGGTTCAAGTAACACTTAATCCTTCTAGTGCATGCAAAAGATTTCGGGCTTAGCCTTTGTGGTATTATGTCCAAGGATCAAATATACTAGAGAGTGGTCACTTAGTCCACTTGAAATTGTTCCGGATTGCTTTATGTTGGATAGCATTGAACTAGAAACACAAATAACGTCAATTAAAGTACTACTGAAAGGAGTTATTCTTGTTGGTTCTCGGATAAGCTGAGTTAACTGAAAGGTGGAACAAAGTTCATGCACCTTATTTGAAAGGGTATTTTTAGTCAGCATATTGGAGTTAAAGTCACCGACGGAGGACTATAACATTATTTGTAAAAGAAAATGCTTGGTCTAGGTTTGATTCTAGGCTTTTGAAAAAGGATATATACATATAGGTTTGCCGCATACGACACCTACAAAAAATGGTAATCGATTTCTAACCCTCGCTTCAAACCACATTATTTCCAAATCGTCACTTTCAAGATCACGTCTTGTAACATATCCTATATTATTTCTTATGTAACACCCAACTCCTCCACCTCGACTACCTCTATCCCTCCTTTTGAAGATGTAACCTGGAATGTCTAAGATGTTCGAAGTAAAGGAATCGTCAATCCAGGTCTCAGACATTGTGAATATATCAACTGAATTGTTACTTATAAAAATTTCAATTTCTTCTTTTTTATTTCGTAAACTTCTAACATTAAGATGGGATATTGACAATCCTTTATCATAAATACGTGTCACGTTCTAAGTTTGACTCATTACCGGCGCAGGGTTCACGATCTACGTCTAGCTCTTTATCAAAAAAGGGCAATTCTTGAAGGATACAAGTTGGACAACTCCAATTTTCAAAATGTACTTTTCTATCATTGTATTGAGATTGAGGTACACGGGCACACGTAATATTGGCCCAATGTTTACAGTTTGCACAGAGAAGAGCTCTCTGATTGCATTTTACTGGTTTAATTGGCATGCAAATAAGTCACATGGAATAGAAAACGAAACAAAAAATGAATAACGAAAATAAACGTTGTTAGCCAAAAATCACAGAGATAATAATTAGATAATCAAATATTTCTAATAATAAAATCGTGAAGACATATAGAACTGTCGAAATCATTCATTTCATGCTAAAAAAAAATGTATTCCCATCTGATCTTGATCATTCTAAATCATATTTATCCTGGAAAATACACGGTAGAAATTTATGGTTTGAAGAAAATACAGAAGAAGAAAATGGACAAATTTAGCTTTAACTTGTAACTGACTCAAGTTCTTAAATGATGTCTAATTTGTATTTAGTTTGTTTTGATTTGCACTACTTCTGTAAATAATTCCATTAAACAAAAAATACCAGAACATAAGTGCCATTAATTCATTCGTTTCCAATCATAACTGTTACCATAAATATATCTACAACTATTAACAATAACAATAATTTTAACTCTAACAATAACTATAAATATAAATATAAGTGTGTGACTATGTATAACTACAGGCACGGATCCGCGGGAGGGGGGCGGTAGAAAAACAGGTAAAACAAAAAGATGGTAACGTTAGTTTTACCTTTTTTAAACAAAAAATTAATCCCTCCCCCTGGCAAAAAAGGTAAAAAAATGTTTGTTTTCGTTTTTTGTTTGCTCAAAGGGGGGGGGGGGGGGTTGAGTGTTGAGAAAAGGAGTGCTCACATGCATTATTATGAACGGATGTTCCATTACAGAAAGGCAATTACATAGGCCTATACATCACAATTTGCATCACATAATTATGAATTACGTACGAATAATGAAAAATTAATGTTTTTAAGCTAAGATATCCCGCCCCGCCATCCCTATTGAAGAGTCTTGAATATTAACGTAGAAGCGAGTACCAAAAGTGAGTTTTGTTTTATAGTAGGCCTACATGTTAAATCTGAAGCATTTTTTGAAATCTTGTAGAGGGCGCTATAGCATATGACACTCGGAGACATTGAGGTTCCCTCCATCAAAGTTCCTTCAAGATTAACTTTTATTTTGTCTCAAGGAAATGAAAACTGGTTTATTTTGGTTATTTAACCAATTTTTTAATCCTTCACAATGGCCAATGGTCATCTGAATAATTGACTATGCCCAATTAAGTCCGTTGCGACCAAATTATCCCTGCGTTTCCTTTGAGCGCTTTTTACACTTTTCTTTAGTTCACGTAATTTTTCCTTTTTTAAAAGGCGACATGTGGTAGAGTCTCAAGCTTTGTTGTTGCAATGTATAAGTCCCACAGTAGGACAAAAAACGGGAATGAAACTTCCATCACGATCGTTAAGACTTTCAAGAATCAACTGAAGGGCAATTTTAGTATCTACTGAAATATAGCGATATTTATACCCGCCCCCCCCCCCCCCCCCCCACTCAGTGTTATTTAGGGTACGCATATGCTCGTACCCTTTTTTTGAAAGCACCCCCTATCTGAGGACTGCCAACATTTCCGAACCCCCCTTTCGCGGGCTTTTCGCGTGCTTTTCCTGCCTTGGAGACCCCCCTAAATCAGGAAAAATGCTCAATGTACCCCCCTAAATTCGGAATAATTTCTCAGGAGTCCAAAGAGATGAGAGAAAAAAAGAAAAACACCCCCTTTTTAAAGAAATCTCAGGGTGAAAAGTCAAATACACCCCTTTTTTTACAATTCTCGGGCCGGACTTTGTCGCACGAAAAGTACCCCTTTACCGGACATTTTGGCAACACGCATGCGGTCATTCCGACCTCTGAGTGGGGGGGCCGGGTATTTATACAACGGGGTTGTATGCGTATGGGAGATATAGACAGAAAGACGGACAGAGAGGAGATAAAAGATAGAGAGCTCTGATAGAGATTACAAATAATAACTTGTTAATGACAGAATGTCTATTAAGTGTGTGTGTGTGTGTGTGTGTGTGGGTGTGCGCGCGTGCGTGTGTGTGTGTGTGCGTGAGTGAGTGAGAAACTTCAAACCAATAGGCAAGCGCCAGTGTCCCTATAAAGGGACACTAGCAAGCGCCAAGTTATAGCGCCATCACTGACAGATGAGGAAATCTAGATGTTTTGATAAACTGGTGAAGATAATAGAGAAATTGAGTGAAAGGTCAAAGTGCTATCGATAAGGAGGGAAATGATGAGCTGGCAACAAGGAAAGCTAAAGCAAGAGAGAGACAGAGAGAGAAAGGGCGAGAGAGAGAGAGAGAGAGAGAGAGAGAGAGGCGTTCTTTTTGATTACTCAATGAGTAGCCAGCCTGCAATAATGCGAGTGCTCAGTATAAAACCCTTTTATTTACTTATCAGATTCTTGTGGATTTATACCTGCAAATGGTCCACAGGATTGTAAATATTGACAGATTTTCTATTCATGATCTGATTTATATATACTTTTTTTGATTGTGTTATCCTCTCCAAAACAAATTTTGAGGCTGTGAGTAAATAGTCAGTCCTGCATACACTGTTAGAACGGTCACTGTTTAAAAGAATGTTGTTTAAAAAAGTAAACAACGTTGTTCAAAATCGAAAAATCAGTGCTCGATTGACTTAAACAACTATGTATTAAAAGACAAAAATATTTAATTTATAAACAGAGTTGTTTAAAAAGTCCCGGGGGCGTCGTTGATATTTTCTCGATAAGCGATTGCAATTTGCGCACACACATGCGATATGCACAAAGTACGTACATAATACATGCATGCAAGCATGCAGTGCTAGTGTGCAGTGCAGTGCAGACGAAAATGGCGGAACAAGGGCAAGGCGACGACTTGGTTCTTCTCGGCTTCGCCGATGGGGTTTAGGTGAAGTTATAGAGACAAATAATAATGTTGTCTGTCACTGCCATGAATAGGATGAACAAATGTTGAAGTAAATTGGCAATAAGCTCTGCATGTTACAGTGTATAAATCGTTGTGATTATTGCAGGAGTGGTTCCAGTAGGTCATTTCACAAATTTAAACAACCAGATAATAACCATTAAACAGTTCTGTTTAAAATTTAAGCAACTTCTTTTAAACAACCCAGTTGTGCAGTAATACTGAATAAACAACAGTTGCTTAGTAATTTAAACATCATTGTTTAAAATTTAAACAACTTGCTTTAAACAACCGAGTTGTGCAATTTTATTACTAAACAACTGTTGTTTAAAAGGTTTCCTAATTTTTAAACAACTAAGTGTTCAAAATGTAAACAACCTTAATTTGTTTAATTTTTAAACAACGTTGAGCGATTCACCGGTTAACTCGGGGTTGTTTAAAATTTTAAACAACCCCGAGAAGAACCAAGCCGAGAAGAACCAAGTCGTCGCCTTGCCCTTGTTCCGCCATTTTCGTCTGCACTGCACTGCACACACTAGCACTGCATGCTTGCATGCATGTATTATGTACGTACTTTGTGCATATCGCATGTGTGTGCGCAAATAGCAATCGCGTATCGAGAAAATATCAACGACGCCCCCGGGACATTTTAAACAACTCTGTTTAATTAAATATTTTTGTCTTTTAATACATAGTTGTTTAAGTCAATCGAGCACTGATTTTTCGATTTTGAACAACATTGTTTACTTTTTTAAACAACATTCTTTTAAACAGTGATATTTTAAACACCGTTCTAACAGTGCATAAATATTTAAAAGTACAGGCTACAAAAAGGTGCTTATAATGGGAAAACCGTACCATTTCCATTCTTAATTTGTACAAACTAATAGCCCCTAATCACAAGCATGTAAGCACATATGTTATCCAGTGAACTGATGGATCTTACCCCAATATCAATTTTCCATGCAGTGTCTAAGTTTTTTGACGAGCGAAGTAAGCGAGGAAGAAACAGTGACACTTTATTGTGGTAATTTTTGAAAATTTAGTCATTAGAATACACTAAATAAGATATAAAGCATATTATATTAGAGCACCTCGCTGCTTTAGTAATGGTGTTTTCAAAATTGTCATAGGTGGGGGGGGGGGGCACAGCATTCCCACCCTCTAACGCCTATGCTCCAAGATTTATTTCCGGTATGTAGGTTGTATGTAATTGAGGGTAAAAAACATTCTTTCTGAAAAATTGCAAGAGAGACAGAGAGGGATCTCTTATAATATTCCAGTAAGTTTCGCACAAACATTTGCTTCCACCAAAGTTCAGAACGATTCACAATTTAAATAGAATAGACATTGTGTTCGATCTGCTGGATGTTGAGTTTATTCGATTGCGTTTGTTTCAACGTGAGGGCTATCATACAGGGTATGAACCCAGTCTGATTTCCGAGGGAGACAAAAAGGGCGGGAATACAAAGGGTATATAGAGGAGTAGAATATGAATAATGTCACGTATATTGACAATTAAACGCTTTATGGCTGTCGGACCTGATAAGGGTGAAGATCAGATTAAGGCGCTTTGAGGTCTAAATTTCCTAAACTGATAATCTTGCAGCTAGCAAATTATCACTATTAGTCAGACTCACTTACTAGGTTTTTATGCCTCCGTTACAAAGTAGCCGGAGGCATTATGTTTTCGGGTTGTCCGTCCGTACGTACGTACGTCTGTACGTACGTCCCGTTCTCGTGATCGCGTTATCTGAAGAACCGATTAATGGATTCCTGCCAAACTTTGGTCATGTATGTATCTTGCAGAGCCGATGAACTGATTAGATTTTGGGGTCACGAGGTCAAAGGTCAAAGGTCACAGGGCTCATTATGTATGCAAAAACAGCTTGGATCGCGTTATCTGAAGAACTGATTGATGGATTCCTGCCAAACTTTGGTCATGTATGTATCTTGCAGAGCCAATGAGCTGATTAGATTTTGGGGTAACGAGGTCAAAGGTCACAGGTCACAGGGCTCATAATGTATGCAAAAACAGCTCGTGATCGCGTTATCTCAAGAACCGATTGATGGATTCCTGCCAAACTTAGGTCATGTATGTTACTTGCAGAGCCGATGAACTGATAAGATTTTGGGGTCACGAGGTCAAAGGTCACAGCGCACATTATGTATGCAAAAATATTGTGATCGTATTATCATTAGAACAGATTGATGGCTTCCTGCCAAACTTAGATCATTTATGTATCTTGCAGAGCCAATGAACTGAGTAGATTCTTGGTTCATAAGATCAAAGGTCATGGGCTCATTATTTATGCAAAAATGGCTTGTGAACGCATTCTCATTAGAACTGACAGATGGATTACTATTTAACTCAGGACATCTTGCAGAACCAATGAACTGAGTAGATTTTAGGGTCATGAGGTCAAAGATCAAAGGGTCATATATGTATATGAGAAATTGCTTGTAATCACGATATTCTGAGAACCTGTTAATGGATTACAATTGAACTTGAATTTGAAAAATTTCTTCCGTTTCAGTTTGTAAAATTGCTCTATGACGGAGGCATCATTTTTGACTGCGCGCAGTCGAATTCCATCTAGTTTTATTGGTCTCTCTTTCCGGTGTCCGATCGTGAGAGCACACAGAAACGAACAGAATTTGCATACATGCGTACGCATGCACTATACCGTACGCAAGTGCTACATAATTTCATACGGGGCAAAAAACTTCGTCGTTCCTTCATTTCTTTTACCCAACCATCTTTCGGCGTCGCCACTAAAGAAACCTCAAACTTGCAAGTTTACTTCAACAAAATTGAGATAGGTCACCAAAAGAAAGATGGGCAAGGAAAGAGGATTGGAGTTTCAGGAGGTGTTGAAAAATTGGCAATATTTGGTGATTGTGCTTGTACCCATTATATTCGGCTGGGTACCCATAGCGTTCAACAATTCGGTGAGTAGAAAATAGAAAGCCCCCTTTTATATTTGTCAACAAATCTCTGATCAGATCGGATCTTCCATATTGTATGCTTACCAGTTGCCACATGTTAGGACCTCAATATTTGAATACTCAGCCTTTATTTTTAAGATATTTTATGAAAAAAGAATGCCACTGCTTTCTTATTATTCACTAACACGAATAGAATATTAAATAACAATAAGGTAAAAACCCTTGTCAATGTGTGATATAATTCTCTACGAAATCATGTGATAGTATTTTAAATGTTTTTTTTTTATTCTTTGGTGTTGTTTTTGTTCTTGCACAGGCTATGTTTCTCATTATAGTTTCTCATTTCCCCCTAAAACTATGCAACCATCGCACAACGTTTAAAAATCGGTATTTTCCGCTTACTTTTCTGCTGTCAAATAATTGAATCTTCTTAATAAGGTCAAGGTTGGATTGCTCTGTAGAGATGAACTTGAATTCTCGTCAATATAGACAATGAATTCTCACAAAATCCAAAAAAACTTATACTGAATGTTTAAGATTAAAAATAAATGACATGTGGCAAAATATTTTGGTAGAAAATTCATAGTGGCTGAGTAATAACCACAGAAATATAAGGAAATCAGGGAAGACACCACAGGTTATTTTAACGTGCAAATGGAAGTTGTGGTTTTTATCGAAGATGAGGCTCAGTAAGTTTTTGTGCGTTTGTTTTTATCGAAGTATTTGAGCTTCCAGTTTGATTACATTGTAATCTAAGCCATTTGAGGTCACGATAAGTTAAAAAAGTATAATAAGAAATTAAAATTTGGGGAAAATAATGCTCTAACTTGTAATTCACAAACCGTTTGAAGTTTTCTCTTGTGTTTCAGTATACAACATTGTTTCACTCACATCATATGCAAAAATAAAAAATATAATCAACCGAGTGGAATCAACTGTTAAACGAATTAATAATGCGTCCTGAAGAAGAAAAATGTTTATACTGCTTGTCAAAGTAGTAGTACAGAGCAGCAATGTCGAACGATTGTCGCTAAAATTCAGCAATCGTTGTTTAGGTTGCTTTCCCCTAAAAATTCTAATGAGACATTTCTCGTGATAATATTTCAGCAACGAATTGAGTGTTTGGGTATACATTTTGGATGTAGTATAGCAATAAACCTTTAAAAAAAGTAAATAACATGGTAGTTAATCGTGAACATATTCACTTCTTTCTCCCTTTGTGTTAAATCCTCCGAACACAAGTTGGAAACAATTTGCTTTTAATTTCCCTTCATTATGAAGATTGAAAAGAATTGTGATAATATTACTTTGAAGACAAGACCACAAAGGTATTTATCCGCTGCTGAATATTTAAATAGCATTATAGAGCACTGTGGTATGGCTATTGACCTTCATACAAAGGTTCGTTCCTTATAAGTGCTAATAGGGACTTTTAGATTTGCGTGGACTGATACGTGTGACGTCCATTCAAGGCAGTGCATTAAAAGGACGTCGACCGTAGCAATCCACGTTGTTGTTCGGCAAATCTAAAAGTCCCTAATACTTACATCCTTGGGCAAGGTGTTTTGCCCACACATTCCCTTTCGACCCATGTGTACCTGGCAACGATGGAGTAATAACAATATGGTAGGGAGCGCACGAAGAGCAGTATCAATAACAATGTGTCTCTTCCCTGGCTAAAGTAGACCACATTTTTACAGTTATGTGATAAAAAGTATCATACTCTATCTGTTTATTTTGCAAGGCAAGAGTCGGGAACAATAATAGCGACTATAGTGCGTGCAGATCGCTTTAAGTACAGAGTATTAATTATCATAGTCATCATATCGTGTTTTTCATGGGATATTGACCCATCGTATAGGGAACAATAATAGCGACTATAGTGCGTGCAGATCGCTATAAATACAGAGTATTAATTACCATTATCATTACATCGTGTTTTTCATGTGATATTAGCCCATCGTATAGTTTTCACTATAAGGCAAGTAAATACTGTTGAAGAAAATATCAAATCTATTTTCTTGCCGTAAAGAAGTGATCAGGATAACGGAAAACATTTGTTCATCTTCCCAATTAAGCTCACGTTGAGGTAATTATACCTAGCTATATTGTTTATTGTTCCATCGTGGGAACCAAAAGACAATTTCTCCGTTATGGCAAAATCAACAAATCATCTTTCTTGTCTTATCTTGTTTTCATAATAATAATCACCTTTTTAAAAAGTGGAAACCACGTTTAAAATATAGGAATTCACAATTGTTACCTGAGATAACTCAAATATTAATTATAAACAAACGGAAAGATAAAGTGATTACTATTAAATTAGATGTTTATTATTTGTTTCGTGTCGTTGAAAATCATAGTATTCCCTAAAATGCCAAGATTTCTTGATTCATTTTCATTATCATAACGGCCCAGCGCTCATTTCTATTTTTTAGGAGAAGGGGTCTGATTCAAGCTCTGGTAGGGCTCTCAGGATGATACAGTGATCAGAATTTTTTTTTTTTATTTAAGACACACCTCAAACATTGCTTATTGCACAAACTTGGATAAAATAGTGTCCTTGCGATATATTAGATGTGCCCTTTCGTGTTCATTCTCTTCTGTTATCAAAATTATACAAAAGGAATCCGAGTGTTGTTAATCGTTCTGGTGCAATTAAGGTTTCATATTATATATCGTCGGCTGAAATTGTAATGTAATCAATGAATAATTAATCATGGAAGTATTTTTCTTCCCTTATAGATGGGAAAGACAAATTTGCACTCGCTTTTAAAATGTGAGACAAAGGCAACCTACAAATTACTTTCCAAAATCTTTCAAAGTTTTCGTTAATGTGAACTCCTATTGAACAAATCATGTCAGCTGAAAACGATAACTATCCAATTCTACTTCTTATATAAGTTTCACGGATATCATAACCCATTAAAAAACATATGCAATCGGGTGTTTAATTTATGGATCATCAAAAAACATTATTTATGGTGTGAATATGTGATCTATATTCAAAACACTCGTTGAACAAATACAGGTACCTCGTATTAGGCGCTATAAAAAAAAATTATTATCACCAATGTTACCTTTTCGTATTTAAAATGAATTTATCGTTCGGAAAATCATTTACGACTAAGGACACGAACGTAATGTTATTGTTTGTAAGATAGTAGACCTGTAGCATGAACTTTAGATTATTTATATTCATTAATTTTTAACCTAGGAAGATAGTCTTGAAAAATTACCATGATCGGGGGAGCAAGTAATATCTATATTGCGTACTAAATATTATGTGCCTTATGTGCCGGGGTCGTTAAGAATTTTTTATTGATTTTTAACATATTTCTATAGTCGAAGGAGCCTACGTCAAAGGTATTGTTTCATAACAACAGCAGACCAGATATACAGTAAAATTAAATTGGGTGCTATACCCCCCCCCCCCCTTTCACAATTTTTATCGACATAAATTAATTTGGAAAATGGAAAGTGACATGTAAGCAAATAAGTCATGATGAGCACTTAATTTTGTAGGGGGAAAAATCGACACTTTTTAGAAAAAAATACTAATAGAAAATGTTATTTGACACCGTACTGTGCCTCAAATAAAATTACAATATAAAATGACAAAATACAAATTTGAATTGAACTGAAAAAGAACGTTTGGGTAATATTGGGTAGAAAGGCAGTCAATTTCTTTGTATCTACATCCGTTGCAATATTGGCAAAGGGCGCAGCGTTTGATCAAAGGGCAATTTTTGAATATGGGAGTCTGTCACCATTTTTTCCGGGAAAAAATACTAGAAAGAAATTAAATGTAAAGCCAGAACATCTTCCTTTGAGCGAGGTTTGGTCTATTTGCTTGAAGGGAAAAGGGGGACTCAAATATTTTCAGGGGCGTCTAACAGATATATCCTGACGTGAATGTTTGTCATTTTATTGGTTTTAAGTACATTCATACTCCTAAATGACAATGTTTGGTGGTTTGGGTAGTTATCAACATTTATAATTCTTTCAATTAAATCAATAACATAAAAATAACTACGAAATTGTCCACTTTTCGTCCTGTAGGTTGGCCATATGGCCTACTGCATAATCATCATGGCGCTGTACTGGATGACCGAGTGTCTGCCCCTGGCTGCCACCGCCCTCCTTCCTATCCTCCTCTTCCCGCTTTTCGGTATCCAAAAGTCCAAGGATGTTTGCAGGAACTACCTTACCGATACCACTACGGTCTTCTTCGGTGGCTTGATGGTGGCTGCCGCCGTCGAGCACTGGAACCTCCACAAGCGCGTCGCTCTCAGAGTTCTCATGCTTGTTGGTGCTAAACCAAGATGGTGAGTGAGGGTGGAGGGGTGGGGATGTGGAGGGGTGTAGGGTGGAGGGGTGAAAGGTGGAGGGGTGGAGGAGTGGATGGTGGAGGGGTGGACGGGTGGGGGAGGGGTGGACGGGTGGACAGGTGGAGGGGTGGAGGGGTAGAGGGTGGAAGGGTGGACGGGTGGACGGGTGGACAGGTGAAGGGGGTGGGGTGAAGGGGTGGAAGGGTTGGAGGGTAGAGGGGTGGACAAGTGGGAATAGGGTATAGAGTGGAAGGATGGAGAAGTGAAGGATGGGGGAGTGGAGGGGTGATAGGTGGAAGGGTGGAGGAGTGGAGGGGTGGAAGGGTGGGTTGGGGGAGGGGTGGAGGGGTGGACGGGTGGACAGGTGGAGGGGTAGAGGGTGGAGGGGTGGAGAGGTAGAGGGTGGAAGGGTGGACGGGTGGACGGGTGGACAGGTGAAGGGGCTGGGGTGAAGGGGTGGAAGGGTTGGAGGGTAGAGGGGTAAAGGGGTAGAGGGGTGGACAAGTGGGAATAGGGTATAGAGTGGAAGGATGGAGAAGTGAAGGGTGGAGGAGTGGAGGGGTGATAGGTGGAGGGGTGGAGGAGTGGAGGGGTGGAAGGGTGGGTTGGGGGAGGGTCGGACGGGTGGACGGGTGGACAGGTGGAGGGGTAGAGGGTGGAGGGGTGGACAGGTAGAGGGTGGACGGGTGGACAGGTGGAGGGGTAGAGGGTGGATGGGTGGAGAGGTAGAGGGTGGACGGGTGGACAGGTGAAGGGGCTGGGGTAGAGGGGCGGAGGGGTGGAGGGTAGAGGGGTAAAGGGGTAGAGGGGTGGACGGGTGGAGTGGTGGACGGGTGGACGGGTGGACGGGTGGAGTGGTGGAGGGGTGGAGGGTGGAGGATGGAGGGGTTGAGGGGTGGATGGTGGAGTGGTGGAACGGTGGACGGGTGGAGAGGGTGATGGGTAGAGGGGTGGGGAGGGTGGATGTGGGATGGATGGATGTTGGGGTTGAGGGGTAGAGGGATGGGGAGGGGTTACTTGAATTGGGGTTCGTTAGACAGGGGCGGCGCCAGAGGGTTTATGTTTATTTTTAAGGACGAAACATGTTACCACAGGTGCAGTCCTAGTGCTCGTCGATGCACACACAAAAGATGACAAGTGGAAGGGAGTGGGTCCTAACATTTGGTATGGATAGACAAGGGCAGTGCCAGCGTTATTTTTATTTCCTTAAAGCGGCACATGCCGGTCTCATTAGCGTTATAATAATCTTTTTTTTAATTTTAGAATGAAGTATAACCTCGAAGGTCACGGTAGGTTAAGTGTACTCAATGCATGTTTCTGAGCAGAGAACGAATAAATCTTTCACTTTATTTCCAAACTCTCTTTATTCCTCAGTAACGTGTCTAAAATACAATAACACAATGTGGATTGAGGTATCTTTTATTCAAAAGTCCAACCGGCGCTTTGATGGAAGTTAATGAAGTGTAAGATTTTAACCTGGAAAATATGACCCAAATATAATGCCTTATTTTCTCAAGGCTTCCAACTGAACAATTCGTGTTTGAAGAATGTATGGTTTCATGAGATCCAGGCACTCAAACAAAGCAAACAATACCACCCACCCCCCCCCCCCCAACAAAACAACAAAAAAAGAAAGAGAAGAAGAAGAAAAAGAAGGAAAGGAGAAGAAGAAGAAGAGAAATGAAAAATAATTTCAATGATCAATCGCACAAAATGAAATTCCACCATTCATGTGAACTGGAACATATCCCCTCCCATTCAGACGCATCGCTCTTGTATACGTTTCATTCATTTTTTGGGTCCTCCCCCCCTATGGAAAATGGCAAATACAATCGCATGTTTATTCTTTTTTTTTCTCCCCAAATGTTCTCGATCATAGCTGTGCTACCATACGCATGGCATTAAAGACCCTGTCTTGTGATTAATGAATGGTTTTTGTGTCTAAAATCTACCGCGTCTGATGAGAAGATTCCTATTAAAGGCCTTAGGAACTGGCTTTACTTGATGCGGGGAATATACCTTTGATGCACGATATTGAGTGGATTTCTTGAGAAGATGTGCGGTTTTAACGCACTGTAAAAGAGTGATACAACCTTTTTTCATCAAAATGATATGAGTAGCTGGAAATAGATTAATTTATCCACTAACCGTTTGTTTGGTTGTTCGATGGGAAATATAAATAGTTTTAAAGAAAATGATTCTTTACCATGGCAACGACTGAAGACGTCATTTAGAAGAATGGCAAAAGATGGATTCATGTTCATCACCCCTCCCCCTCCTATATAATAGAAAGAGCACACAAAATCAGATTCTACAAACAAAAATTAAGAACACTTTCAACTCCCCATGTACTACTACGTCTAGCAAATCACGCCCCGAGAGCAAGCAACGGTCTCGATGCTTCCCTGTTGACCGTGGCTTGATTTTTCAATCCATACAATGAGTCAACCACGAGATCGTCTCTTTCCAGGTTGATGTTCGGGTTTATGTCGACCACAGCTTTCTTATCCATGTGGATGAGCAACACGGCGACGACCGCGATGATGATCCCCATCTCTCAGGCTGTCCTCGACGAACTCAAGCCTAGCGAAAACGATGAGGAGACAGGCGGTGATGTCGACAAAAATGACGAAAATGGAAGTCCAATGCATAAGGTCCGTAACGGGTTTTGTCGTTTTACTTTGATGGAAATCTGCTACTGAGCTCCTGGAAAGCATGCATTTTCAAGATATTGCACATTTTAAAAAAAAAAATCATTTATTCTTTTTCTCTTCATTCCTCATTCACCTTTTTTAATGCAAAGGTCTATCGATGCTAGCCAACGATGTGTAGTTATGCATGCATATTATTATTATTATTATTATTGCTTTGAACAGGGTCATTTATTCTTGTTATTTGTCATTTTATCGGCACGGTAATGATACTGACTGTATTGCATGAATATCAATATCAATGCTCTTAAATCATTCTCTTTCTCTCCCTTTTATTCTCTCTCTCTCTCTCTCTCTCTCCCCTCTCCTCTCTCTCCCTATCTCTTTCTCTTTCTCTCTCTTTGTCTCTCTCTCTCTCTCTCTCTCTCTCTCTCTCTTTCTTCCCTTTTTCGTATCAACTTCCATACACTCGTCCTTTTAACAAGATGATTGTCACCGAGGATTGCTATTTAGTCAGTGGCGTATACTTTCTTTCTGTATATTTCTTTTGGATCATAATATCGAAAGAATGGCAATTGCATTTTAACGAGAAAGAAGATAGAGCGAAAACAGAGAAAGAGAGAATAAAGGAGAGGAATGGAGGGAGAGAATAAAAGTATATGACAGAAAATAATATGAAAGAGGAATAGACGGAGAAACAAAATAAGGACCATTAACATGATTTACATCAATGAGTCTTAATAGACAAGTCATTCTGAAAAGCAGACAATAAACACAAAATAAATAGACATTGAAACTAGATTTGAACTTGTAGGATTACTAAACCTAAACAACGTCTGCCGACATTAATGTTTTATATAAGGGTAATAATTATAACATCAACTGCAAACAAAAGTGTAAAGGATTTATCCTCCTATTGTACAAGGTGTTTTGTAAAAAATAAGAAGTACCAGTGACGTAGCATGAGTCACTCTACCGAGGGGAACTTGAACGATTGGGGGTACCGGTCTTATTAGAAATAAGAAAATACGAATTTAGAGGGCTACTTATTAGAAAGAAAATGCGGAGGGGGTCCGTGTTTCTGTTTTCGAAATCTTTCCCCTTCTCCCTCCTCCTTCTACCTCTCTCTCTCTCTCTCTCTCTCTCTAATCGTCATTTCTTTATTAATTTTTTTAACCACACGATTAGGAAGGGGAGTGGGCACGTTCCCATTTCACTCGAAATATTTTCGCGAAAATGGACGTAAACTGCCACCATAGTGTTCTGATCTTGGGTGTACGGTCACAACTTCACGGGGGGGGGGGCTGACGTTTCTTGGCGCAAATAACAGTATAAGGCCAGGTACCGTTACTAAAATTTAGCACTTTGTTACAGTGACACTGTACTGTCGCCATCAAAATATACAAGATAACATGTAAAACTAACAAAAGGATCTTTTCGCTCCTAGGATATGACGTGACGATTGCCCTAATATTGGTAGTTTAATATTTTTGGGAAGTGTTTCTGCAGCCCTTTCCGTCTTGCTTTGTCCGTATGTGATTGCGAATACTGTAAACTTGACAACAGTTTTGAGATTACTTTCTTCATATTTTGACTTCATCTTTTCATATTTTGAAATAGGGCTCAGAAGAAAAGGAAGAGCATTGCTCTGAAAATCCTATCGAACTCGATGAAATCGCAGCTGGTCACATGTAAGTATTTTTTTTGAAATCCCATGGAAGCAGTGGAACGAAATCAAAATATCTTTTTATTACCACGATTTACATGGTTTTATCAAGATTATAGGTATCCCGTTTTTGTTTTTAATTAAAGAAGGCAATGTTGTTATCATCGGAACACTTCTCCTATGCCTCCCTCTCCACCTCTCACCACCTTCCCTGCCTTTGTTTGCTTCTCTATCCTTCTCTGTGTCTATTCTCCCATTCTATTTCTTTATCTCTCTGTTGGTTTCTGCCTTTCTCCAACCCTTTCTTTCTTCCTTCCCTCCCTCCCTACCTCCTTTTCCTTCCTCCCGCCTCCTTACCTGAACCATGGACCTACTTAGTAGGTCCATGATGATACCAAACGATTCGGGATATAACACTCTTTCATGTATGATAACCTTTTGTTCATGGCTGACTTTTGGAATAAATGACAGTTTTCTGAGTGTAGATTTTATTTTGACTCACACGGAATAGTTTACAAAAAAGAAACTTAATCAGTTATGTATTTACCTTTCTTTTTTTTTAAAATGTAGTTTGACTGCCAAAAGCTGTTGATACCTGTGGGAAAGGATGTAATATGTGTGTGGAAGATAATTCATTAGTAAAGTTTCCTTCATATCGTATTACTATCTAATTTCATTGTAGCTATTTTCTTTAATTCCATTCCCCTTTATTACATACAATAATTTCCTGTTTCTTCCTTCCCCATTTTCAAGGGCATATTACGTTTCTTCAAGTTAAATGCTTCCCTTTTTTAACATTTTTCTTTGTTCTTTGAAAATCCTAATGATAAATGTTTCTCTTTGAATTGTATGTCGAAGTGTCGAGTGGTTTAAGAACTTGACTTGAAGTTCAAAGGTCGTTGTTCGATCCGCGACACGGCACTAATGTCCTTTGGCAAGGCACTAATCTTCATTTGCCACACTCGACCCAGGTGAGGTAAATGGGTACTTCCCCCTTTCTCTTTCCCTCCCCTTCTTTGGCCCTCCCTATATACCAATATCCTCACTTTCTCTCTTTCTTCCCTCCTCCTTACCTCAATTTCCTCCCTCTCACCTCCCTACTTTCTCACTCCATCTACTTTTCTCTCTCTCTCTTCCCCCTTTCTCTTTCCCTCCCTTCTCTCTCCTCCCCTTCTCTCGCCCTCCCTATATCTCAATATCCTCACTTTCTTTCCTTCTTCCCTCCTGCTTACCTCAATTTCCTCCCTCTCACCTCCTTACTATCTCCCTCCCTGTCTGTTTCTTTCTCTCTCTTCCCATCCCTTTCTCTTTCCCTATCCCTCTTCTCCCCTTCTCTCGCACTCCCTTTAAATATCTTCACTTTCTCACCTCCCTTTCTCTTTTCCCTCCCTCCTCTCTCCATCTTTTGTTCCCTTCTCCGCTTCTCTCTCTCTCTGTTCATACACTCCCAATGGCATAGCCAGGAGCAAGGGCGCCACCCCACCCCCCCCCCCCCCCCCCGCCGTTCATTCGCTGAATCGACCTTAACCCTAACTCTATCCATACCTAAGGTATTGAGAGGGACGCTGAAATTTAGTGTGTCAACCCCTCCCCCCACCCCCTTTGTTCAACAAGTTTGGCTATACCAATGCACACTTCATCTCTCTCTCTATCCTTTCATTATCGTATTCGTTTCTCTCTCTCTCTCCCTTTTTTTTCTAGCGTTGAAGAGCCCGGATCATTTCCAGTGGAGATTAAAAATGCACCGCTGCTCATCGAGGAGGAGTCCAAAGCTGATCGGGGCCACCGTCTTCTCTGCAAGGGTATCACACTCTCCATTCCTTATGCAGCCAACATCGGCGGCACCGCCACCTTAACGGGAACTCCTCCCAATCTGGTTATCAGTGCACAGGTTAAAAAGTAAGTCATGCCTCTTTTTTTTAAGATGCTGTTGCATCTTTGAAAGAACTCGCCACATTTTAGGCAATGCTCCCATTGAACAAAATATGTTACAAAATACATATGAAAACTAAATCTCTTTCCTGCTTACAGACTCTTTGGTCCCGAAGTCGGTGTAAACTTTGGAACCTGGATGATGTATGCATTCCCTGGCATGGTGATCTGTCTCCTCATCTGCTGGGTCTGGCTACAAATCATGTACCTCGATTTCTTGTAAGTAGTTTTTAGCCATCACCATAGGCACGATAGCTCAGTCGGTAGAGCCGTGGTCTCGTAATCCGGTGACCCGGGATCGAAACCAAGTCGATGCGCTAGTGCCCTTTGGTAAGGCATTAATCCTCATTACCAGGTCCCTCGGAGGGGACCTAAAGCCGTCGGCCGTCTGGTTGCTTACTTACAAGCATTTATGCTTTCTTAGCGGTCAGGTAAAAAATAACTACCAACCAACCAACCATTATTACTGTCATCATTATTATTATTATACAAATTAATCAAAATTTGGTTTTTATAACGTATTCAAATGTGTACGATGGCTTTGGTAGTTGCCTTTTGAATGCATTTTTTTTTTTACTAAAGTCCTCAATATAATTCAGGTCGTAGATGCAATCTGTACATGAGCAAACAGAGGTATGGTACGAACTTTATGAAAAAACTGCAAAAAATGAATACTGTTTTTTTTTTTTTTTTTTTTGTGTGTGTGTGGTTGTGTGAATACAAATAGGTGTTCATGAAAGTCATGCTATCATTATTCATCTGTGCACCAACATTACAATACATGACACGCAGGAGGTAGCATTGTTTGCAAAAGGGCAAAAATAACGTTATTCATGAAACATCTCCATTGTTATTTTTCCAAATGGGCAAAGTGGATATTTACGACATTTTTATACCATAATGAATGCTAACTTATGGTAAACTAATATTACACCCATTCCAAACTAATTTCAAACCGACCGATTTAGTTTCGATTCGGAGTACTGTAATTTTTCGTTCGGTCTTTTGTCGGTCTGATCGGTGTGATTGGGAGTTTACAGAGTTTATTGGAAAGTAGTCAGATGTAATTGATTATGTATGCAGCCGCAACACTTTTACTCTCTACGAAAGGGAAGACAAGCAACCAATATGCTGCGAAATATGCCACTACAGCATTCGTTATGTAACTCAAGTCGCATCTCTCTCTCCTCTATATCATTTTCCTCCTCCCCCTTTCTTTCTCTCTCTCTCTCCTCTTCCCCTCTACTCTCTTAATTGCTGTGTCTCTCGTCTGAATTCTCTTCTCTCTTACTTGCTGTCTCTCTCTTCCCTCTCGACTATCTGTCTCCCTTTCATTCTTTCTGCACCCCTCTCTCTCTCTCTCTCTCTCTCTCTCTCTCTTTCCCTTCTCCCTTTCCCCTCTCTGCCTTTCTCTTTTACTCTCTCTCTCTCTCTCTCTCTAGTTGTCTTCAGAGGAGTGATAAGCGTGTCGGCTTAGCACAAGAAGAGAGAGCGAAGATGGTGATCAGGAGAAGTTACGCTGCTCTTGGTAAAATATCGTAGGTATCCCTTCATTAATCTCATAACGCTTATAGCCTATAAAATAAATAATAAATGAAAATATGCTACCTAAAAAATAGTAGCCATTCAGTAGTTCGAAATATCATTCTTATTTTCAGTGACGCAGAATTAGTTGGACTCGTTTTTGTTCAAGAGGCATTTTGGCTGTAGAACATTATTCGAATATTCTATTATTTTACAAACAATCTTTGCAAACATCGTTGACGGGAAGTGGACTTTGTGCCAGGCATATTCATTTAAGAAAATGACAAGGAAATTGTTTTAGTGAGAGTTGTCACTAGTCTAAATTTGCCTGTAAGTTAATTGAATTTTTTTCACCAAGCAAAAACAAAAAAGAATTTACCAAGAAAGATTTTAGGGTTACTGCCTCGTGTATAACGGGATTCAGGAAGCGTTTTACACTATATCAAGACGATTTTTGTTTTCTTTTTTGTCTAGCTTTGCTGAATGGGCTATTCTGGGACATTTTGTAGTCCTGGTCATTCTGTGGTTGACGAGAGATCCCAAGTTCGTCAATGGCTGGTCTGTAAACTTCCTCAAAGGGTAAGGTAGAACCTCACAGATCAACAAGTCGTTGGTTCGAATCTCGGGCTTTATTTTTGGGGAAAAGAGATGTAGTCTCATAACTATATCATTTGCATGTACATATAGGTGTTTTGCTAATTGAAAACCAAGTAGATGGAAATCATTTAGATTATTGTTTCGAGTTTAAAAGCCAGGATGAATATCTGTAAAGAAAAAAAAAGGAAATGGGCATATGTTTACTTTTAAATCTCCATCGCCCTGGTAACATCATTTTCATTAAATGCAACATACATGGTAAGACAGGAGCATGCTATATTCATCAGTCAGAAATCAATTTGATGGATGATTTAAGATGATCATTGATTGACAGTTTATGATGACTGATGTCAATTTAATATCAAAACTATTGCAAAAACTTTTGATCAATCAACTCAAGGGATATTTTAGTACCCTAATCTTCCAAAAGAAATTGTATTCAACTTAAATATAGGTCTTTGTAATCTACGCACATTTTACAAGATAATGGACTAGACTATCGATATTCTCTTAGGTTTACTCTTCAAAAGGGCTTGCGATCTCATATTTTAATAAGAGAAAATAATCCAATAGGTAAAGCTTTTCCATGACAAAACCAAGAAATATATACACCTAGACATTCTGGTAAATTGTCGGTTGTCATGGTAACTCTTTATAAATGCCTCTCTTCATAATCATGACAGGTACGTGACGGACGCTACCTCTGTTATATTCATCTCTTTGCTACTCTTCGCCTTCCCATCAAGGCTGCCCTCATTCTTTTGCCGAAAAAAGCAAGGCAAGTACCCCTGTCACAATGGAGACACTTTGAACACGTATTACAGGTGGTCGTGTTGATATGGTACGGATTTGTTGTTTAAAAGTTACGAGTGAACCTAATTAATTAGCATGGACATAATGGGATTACAATGAGCGCGCTTGTTAACAGGCGACCAGGAATGCTCCCCAGAGGAGTGGAGAATGTGGTCTCTATTAGTTTCTGAATCCAGTGACCGGGGTACAATATAATAGTACTGTAAGTGCTTTGGTCGGTTGCGTTGGATCTTGTGAGGCTTTTTATGAGAAAAAGTTAATATTATTATTATCAATTATTAATATATTAATTAATTAATCAAATAATTGGTTAATTAATTAATCAATTAATCAACGAATTAATTAATTAATTGACGGATTGATTTATCAATACAACATGTAATGCTATCATCGGGAGTCATTCTCATTCTTACGGCCAATGGCGAAGCATCCCCCCCCCCCTCCATCCCATCGAATCACAAACAAAAAAGGAAGGAGGAGAGGGAGGAGGAGGAGAGAGAGAGAGATGGAGGGAGAACATAAAAGAGGAAGAGCGGGAGTGATAACATTTCAGTCGAGCAGGCTGTCAGTCTGGGGACGGCATGGTAATTGTCCGGGAGTTGGGGTCTGGGGTTGTGAAAATAGTTGACTGGGTGGCAGTCCGGGGCAGGATGGTAGTTGGCCGCGACTGGTAGTCTGTAGGGGTGGCGATAGTTGTCCGGGACTTGTTCTCTGGGGGTGGGAATAGCACTTATTTGATGTGGCAGACTTGGGATAGAGATTGTAGTTGCCCAGTGGTGGTAGTTGTGCTGATGAGTCACATCCGAATGTGACTTGACTGAATTGCTGTCTATTCCTTTAGATGATGATGGATCAGAAGATAAGAAACCAGCCAAGATTCCAACCTTGCTCACGTGGCCTGTCATACATGAGAAGATGGCGTGGAGTGTCATTATTCTCCTTGGTGGTGGATCGGCCCTAGCTGATGGCTGTAAGGTAAACGAAATGGATTGTGGTCAATTGATATCAAAGGGGCTGATAGGCGAGGATTATTTTTGGTTGGGTTTTATTTTCTCTATTAAAATTCAAGTACATGCACATAAATATACACTAACATTGAAACAAAGAATTTCAGATTTTCAGAACTTCAGATTTACGTATAATGCCATCTACTGCTCACAATGTCCCGATGTGTCGACAGCCATCTCCCACAACGCATCACCAACTACATGACGCATTCGTGATGATGTTTGGGTACAGGAACCAGAAGTCACTTTATGTACGCCTTCACCGAAAGATAGCGTATTTGAAAATACATTACATGAGCATTAGCGATGCTGGTGTCCGATGAAATATCCTGCCTTTAAAGGTACTATGTCCCTTTTGCAGCCAACATCGAATTCTGTAGAACTTTGCAGGAATTATGAATATGTCACGTATATCCTATCTGTGAAATTTAAACATTAGCAGTGTCCTGATATTCGAATAATGCAAGGAAACCCGTTTACTTGCTAGACTTCACTGTCATACACTATTGAGTGACTGACTGCCTTTTTTCTTCTTTGGTAATAAAATACATAAAATGAGCTGTAAACGGTACATGAGCATTTGTCTACATCAATAGCCTACTTTTTGTAATGGCCAAAATTAAACTGATTGAATCTTTGCGCAACATAAAACGTATGACCATTCGGTAATATGGTCTGAAAATCAAGACTATTACTTATTGGCTCTATAGCTCCTAAGTCGATTCGACATCTAATAGTCGTTATTTTCCCACTTAAAGATATTTTCAAGCCCCCCCCCCTTTTTTTTTTGGGGGGGGGGGAAGTTTCAAATTAGTATTATTTTTCAAATGCCGTTGGAATTTTACCTTTTCATTTGTGGGGCCTGCAAATGGGACATAGTACCTTCAAAGAGGCGGGGTAGCTCTACTCAGATTAATTTAATAATGAAATGGCTTTGTGAATTCCAAGGAAGGATTCCATTTTCTTCAACTGCGAAATCATGGAGATTATCAAAAGATAGATAAAACAACATTACAATGGACTTGAATACTAGTAACAATCAATAAACTATCATCAGTATGATAATCAATGGAAAAAATTGTATTTTTTGAAACGCTTTGTTTCAATTACTTAAAAATTCATATAAAATATTATTCAAAATGTTGAAAATTGTCGTTTTTGTAAGGTGTCGGGTCTCTCCGCCTGGTTAGCGACTCAGTTTAAGGAGTTCTCTGCACTCCCACCGGCATCCCTGGCCATTATCATCTCGACTGTCGTGGCTACTTTTACTGAGGTCACCAGCAATACGGCCACCGCCACCATCTTCCTACCCATCTTTGCTGAATTGGTAAGACAAATACCCAACTACCAGAATTAAACTTCTCAAACTTCAAGAACATGTTAAATAAATAGGGGGAACACGCAATGGTGTAAACAGCCAACTAAAATGCAAATATATCACTACCTAGCAACAAATGGCAGATTTTAACAAATATATGAAGTATGTATTCGCTGAACGTCCATCGCGAACAAAACCAACGCAATAAATGAATAAAGACATTATTAAAAAATATATATTCTCAACCAATTTCCAGGAAATAATGTAGATAATGGTATTTTTAATTTTTTTTTAGATAATGTAAAAACATCATTCGCTGAACGTCTACCACAAACTAAACAACTTCTGATCTTAGATTACTATGTGCCTTTTCATAGAAGCTGATTAACCACTAATTTTAAGAACGATAATTTCTTAAATGTCCTTCAATCGAGTCTAGCAAAGGTCTTTTAAAACAAATCCAATATATTTAATCATGTGTTATTTCACACGCTACAAAGAGTACAGATATCTAAACAAAGAATAGCATTGCTATAATAAGTGTGATTTACCTTCGCATTATTTTGGTCTGGTGCACTTAGTAGGACTAGCAACTTGACAGAATCGACAGGTATACAGAGGCGGCGGACCCGGGGGGGGGGGGGGCAGGGGGGCACAGTGCCCCCCTTTTTCAAGTACCCAAAAAAGTGCCCCTTTAACTTTGTAAGAAGCGCCCCTTTTTACATAAAAAGTGCCCCTATTACTCTGATATGTGCCCCTGTTAATTTTTAAAAGTACCCCCTCTCCTTTCCACCTCTGATATGTGCCCCTTTTATTTTGACACGTACCTCTTTTCCCAGACAAGTTCCCAGTTTCCTAAGTGCTTAGTGTCTATTTTTCATTTTCATAAGTACCCTTTTTAATCTCTAGTAAGTGCCTCTTTTCGGATATGAGAAGCGCCCCTTTTCACTTTTGTTAAGCGCCTCCTTCACCTCTGATAATTTTTCCCTATTCAAATCTTAGAGGTGCCCCTTTTACTTTGACAATTTCCCCTTTTCCTGTTTAAGAAGTGCCCCTTTCCCTTTTAATAACTACCTCTTTTTAACTCGGATAAGCGCACCTTATATTTTCACATGTGCCCCCTTTCCTTTCTAATAAGTGCCCCTTTTCCTTATGATAAGTGCCCCCATTTAACAAAGAGCTCTTCGCCTTTTCATAAAATGCCCCTTTTCACTTATGAAAATAGTCCTTTTTCATTCTCCTACTAGTGCTCCTTTTCATGTCTGGTAAATGACCCTATTAAATTCTGAGACAATCGTTTTATTTTGACAAGTGCCACCTTTTCCTCCTGATAAGTGCTCTTTTCATCTCTAATAACACCCCCTTTTATTTTGACACGTGCCCCTTTTCCTTCCTAATAAATGCTCTTTTTCCTTCATAATTTCCGCTTTTCATAAAAGCCCCCTTTCACCTCCAATAAATGCCCCCTATCAAAATCTGATCGGTGCTCCTTTTCTTTCAACAAATGCACATTTCCCTTTATTATTAGTGCCTCTTTTTCATTCTCATAAGTGCCTCTTTCATTATGGTGTTTGCCCCTTTTCACCTCTGATAATTAACCTTTTTTAACAATGATACGTGCCCCTTTTCCTTTCTTGTGAGGAAACTATCCCTTTTTCATAAATGCCCCTATCAAAATCTGATGGTTGCCTCTTTTCCGTCGACAAATGCCCAATTTCCATTCTCATAAATCATTCTTCATCCCTGGTGAGTGCCCCATTTTCACCTCTGATAATAACCCTTTGTACTTTGACACGTGCTCCTTTTATTTACTAATAAGTGTCTTTAATTCCCTTCGATAAGTGTCCCCCTTTCCTCTCATCATTAAACGTGCCCCTAATTTCAAGCGACTGAGAGCAATATCTTCCAAAGCTCGCTCGCTACGCTCGCTCACATTTATAGATGTTATAATTATGTTACTTATCGAAGGTCTTTTCAGTTCGCTGTTATAAAAATGTGCTTATTTATAACCCGATGAGGATTGGTTTTTTCCTCTTTATAAGATGTAGTTTTCGCACTTTGCCCTCACAAGTCTTATATTTTTCCTCGCTCGCAAATGATTTTTTTCGACCATCACACCCAACTGCAAGGTATGATGCTTTAAAAAGCAATATTTTATACGATGTATAAAGAGAAACAAATATTGAAATCATCCCTGATAATGTAATCGAATTTTAGGGGAATATACCAGTGTCTAAAAATTGTTTATTTTCGCTTTGAGATTTCCCTGTGTAGGTGCCCTTTTTTCCCCAGAAAGTGCCCTTTTTTGTTGGTGCTCCCCCCCCCCCCCACTTTGGAAGTCGCTCCGCCGCCTCTGCAGTTATACTTACACGATGTTGGTAACATAATAATGGGACAAAAATGATTGTGACTAGTCTATTCATGACTTTGTCTAGCAGTTTATGGAACACCAGTCCAAGATAAAATTCTTAGCGTTACTTATAGTCATGACAAATTTGCCTAAATGTGCCCAAATCTCTGTCATTTTTTCGTTCAAACTTAATCCTGTAGTTTTTTTGTGTCCATTGCAGACGCTCTTAATGTGATTTCATATTTTGCACTAGTGCGCATTGAGCAATCTATTTCAAGTGAACTTGGTGCCCAATGAACTTTAAATGTTAATATCATATTATCATATTAATGTGGTATATATTTCTTTTGTCATTTGTCTTCCCTCGTGATCAGAGCATCAGCATCGGGCTCAACCCTCTCTATCTGATGCTCCCGGCAGTCATTGCGTGCTCCTTCGCCTTTATGCTTCCGGTAGCCACACCGCCTAACGCCATAGCCTTCGCCCATGGCAACCTTACGGTACTTGATATGGTAGGTCTGGAGCATTGTTTGGGTTACTTTGAATCGAGAGTGAAATTTAGGATATTGGTCAGTGGGGAGAGATAATCTGAAACAATATGCAAGTGTCAGAAAAGAGAGGATTTTAGTTTTGAAGTATCCCGAAGAAATCAACCTAAAGCACCTTTAATAACAATGGTCCATCTTTTGAAATGTGCGAACATTGCAATGACATACTACGTAATGTGACCAAACCTTCATGGGCAATACAATAGGGTATCGAAATCACCATTTAGTTTATTTTTCAAAAGTCTTTACGAACGTAAATACGCTTTTATTTACAAGTAATACTTGCATTCATGAATTTTTGCGATTTTTCGACAAGTTTTTACAAATCCAAATATAAATTATGACAAATTTGTTGAAGTTAGCGACAACCCAGATCTTGAAACTAATTCTGAGCAAATAAATCTGTTTTTGAATTCGTTACAGGTCAAGGCTGGCATCGTGATGAACATCGCGTGCATATTTGTATCGAACCTCAGTCTCAATACTTTGGGTGTCTGGGTCTTTGATGTCAAAACCTTCCCTGCATGGGCTAACAGAACGGTGACATAATCTTCTTCGACATCAGGCAGATGTGATGCAGCCCGCGAGACCGAAAACCTATTAGACCGACAGGATACTACACCGACGGCCCACGGACCGACAGCAAATTATACCAAGAAAGTTCGACTTTCTAACAACTTTTTTTTTAGGGCTGTCAGACTGACAGCCCGCGAGAACGACTTCCTTCGAGACCGATATTCTTCTATCTTCCCTTTGCTGGTCTTGTATGCTGTCTGTCTCGTAGGCTGTCGGTCTCTTAGACCTTTTGGTACACTCTTCTTTCCTTTACTTTTTGAAAAGTATTTCGATGTTTAGTCGGTCCTTCTACTGGGATTACCTCTTGATGTCAGATATTATATAGTTTACTTGACATGTTTGGTGCCCTTTTTAGACAAATTTGCCGTGCGAAATTGGTACAGGTCATTCATTCTTACGTGAAGATCACCCAAAATGCCAGTCAAATTTCTGTTTTTGTCGTCGATTATTGAGTATTTATTCAATTAATCATCACCCTTATTACAATTATAACAGTACACAGTGACTCGTGAATACATAAGATAATCACAAAGATATGAAGATTTTAAAATGCAATGTATACAGTTGGAATGAGTTTTAGCTAGAGAATAAACTTTTTATTATTTCATATATCTGAATCAAGTATCACCTATACTTCCATTTATGCTAATTTCTAAACATTAATTATAAGTACACGTAGGCTTACATGTAAATATCCAATACAAAAAGAACATTTAGATTTGATGGTTTAGTTTAGATGAATGGAAAAACGTTTTCATTTTGTTGAAATTTAGAGCTTTTACTTAGCTTCATATATTTTAACATTTTTTTAATGACGGAATTGATGGAACTTATCTGTGGTTTTCAAATAATTGGCTTATAATACTTATGGTATAGTGATATTCGGAATTATAATAAGTTGTTAACTATCGTTTTCAGTTAAAAGAAAACTAAATCTTTCCAGTTTAAAATACATGTAATCGTATTTTATGATTCTTCTGCCTTTAAATATATCAATCTATATTAAGTCTATTTTATGTTATTTTCAATTTGCTTGCTTGCTAGGTGTCTTAATTGTCTGTTTCAGACATTGACGATCAAGGCTTTCCATCTAAATCTATCTCTGGTTCTTTGTAATGTGACGATGCTCTGTTACCAGTCTCCCAATGCACTCGACCATGTATTTCATGCGCTGTCTCCCTCTGCTTCTCTTTTCCTCACTTTTTCCTGTCATCATCCCGTTTTCCGCTCCTCCTCTTATCATAATATGCCCAATATCCTTTACATTTTCAGTTTACAGGGTAAAAATGAAATATTCAAGAGTGTTGTTTGAAAATGTGCATGATGATATTTGAGAATATATATTCCATAACATTATTGAAAGGTCTTTATCACTTATTCAGCTAAATGTTCTTACGTGTGTATTTCAATTAATTTCTTTCGATCCCATACATTTATTCGGAGAAAACGTCTTAAATTGCAATAAAAAAATTATTTCAATCCCAACGAATTTTTAAAAGAAAAATATTGCATCATTTTCTTATAAATTGTCAATGTAAATAATATCTCATGCAGTGTCATTTAATTAATTAATTAATTAACAACATTTGTATAGCGCTTATCACAAAATATGTCTCTAAGCGCTTAAGAAAAATAGAAATAGAAGGAATTACAGCCAAATATTAAGTTATACATAATAGATAGTGGACAATCGAGGGGGCTGCATATGCAAATGAAAAAGGCTATTTAACAAAAAAGTAGGTTTTTAACATGGATTTGAATTTGTCTGTTGAATCTGCTTGTTTTATACATTGAGGTAAATTGTTCCAGAGTTGAGGGGATGCTGCATAAAAAGTTCGGGAACCATAAGACTAGGTATTGGTGGCAGGAACTATTAAGAGTGATTTCTTGTTTGAGCGCAGGTTGCGGGAGGGTAAGTATTCTGATATCAGCCTTTGAAGGTAGACTGGAGCTGTTTTTGTCAAACATTGGAAAGTCAGCAAGAGGATCTTAAAATCAATTCGTTCCCGGACTCTTAGCATGTGAAGCTCCCTAAACAGTGGAGTGATGGACTCACGTGAACGACGCTTTGCAATAAGTCTAGCAGCTGAATTTTGTACTCTCTGCAATTTGTTAATTTGTGCATCAGGAAGACCATACAGAAGACTGTTGCAAAAGTCAATACGAGACATGACCAGTGACTGAACAAGTCTCTGGGTGGTCTTTTTAGTAAGAAACTGACGGATGCTACCGATTTTATGCAACGCAAATGAGGCAGATCTGCATACATTGTTCACATGAGTCTTCAGAGATAGATTATTATCAAATGTGACCCCAAGGTTTCTAGCACCTGTAGAACATTCTATGTCAGTACCATCAAGACATACATCATCATTTGCTTTATTTTCCTTTGGTATGAATGTATGCAGATGGTTTGTGTTTTCAACGAAAATAATAGATGAAGACTTTTATTTTTAGTACCTACACTCTGAATGTAAGTGGCGTAGCGATACGGGGCACGAGGCCAGACACCCTCCCCAGCCACCATGGCATGCCGAGAAAAAAATTAAATAGGAAATGCGTATAAAAAAGAAAGAGGGAAAGGAAACTAGAGATATAGGAATTATAATAATAGGAATGTTAAAAGAAGACGACAGATGACCCCCCCCCCCCCGGCCCCTCTTGATACCCCTTCCCCCAATCAGTGGCCTGGAGTGAAGATCTGAGCACCTCTGCCAAATGCGCATTATTATTTTCTTGTCGTCAGTGTAAAAACTCGTTATTAAAGACAGGATAATAATATAATTATAATAACCAAGATATAACATTTTATTACTTTAATATTTCATATTCTGTCTATCTATCTTTATTTGATATGATGTGGGTCTTTAAGAAATATTTCTATTTATAACACTTTGATTTTGAAATACTAATATGCGACCTTTGTCTATAAAGACACGGTCATCGTCTCGACGCACGTGTTTGTTTAAGTTTGGTTGAATATTAACTTTTTGAAACTCATTTCAGACTTTATATTGGTCATCCCTGCACAATACAATATTCACACATAAATATTAGTTTCTATTTTGTATGCTGACTTCATTGCTATGAAAAATGTGCGGGTGAGCGGAGTCTTTTGAGATGTCGAAATTCATTTAATATTTTAGAAACTACATAGCAAAAATTGGCTTGATAAAAAAAACCTGAAATTCATAAGTTAGAAACCCTCTGGGTGGTATTCTCGAAAGCGGCCTAAGTTAAACCTGGCCTAGCTTAGTCCGTGGTTTAGTTAGGCCAGGCTTAACTTAGGCCGCTGACCTAAGTCATTTTCATTTCTCGAAAGGTGGCCTAACTGATCCATGGTTTAAACCTGGCCTAACTTAGTCCATGGATCATTCACCATGGTTACAGTTTCTGCACATGCTCAGTACCGAAGCTGCGACGTCACAATGCACTAAGACAATGGGCTGAGACAATGGATGCGCGCAGTGTTGGAGAGGATGCATCACCTCGACAACTTGAGCAATATGACGTCCAGGGGCGGCGGAGCGACTTCCAAAACGGGGGGCAGCACCAACAAAAAGGCACTTGCTGGAATTGTATCATTGTTAAAAGGGAAATTATCAGAGGTGAAAAGGGTCACATATCACACCTGAAAAGGGGCATTGAACATATTTTAAAAGGGGCACTTATGACAATGAAAAAGAGGCACTTATAATAAAGGAAATGTGTATTTGGTGAAAGAAAAGGGGCACCGATAATTTTGTTAATAGGGGCATCTCTCAGATTTAAATAGGGCAATTATCAGAGGTGAAGGGGCACTTCTCATAAGTGAAAAGGGGCACTTATTGCAAAGGAAAATGGAAACTTGTCAAAGGAAAAGGGGCGCGTGTCAAAATTAAAGGGGCACTTATCAGAGGTGAAAAGGGGAAGGGGGACTTTTCCTATGGAAAAAGGGGCACTTCTTACAAAGTTAAAAGGGAGCTTTCCTATATAAAAAGGATCATTTGAAAAAGGGGGCACTGTACCCCCCCCCCCCAACTCTTTCTCCCTATCTCCATCTCTCTCTCTCTCTCTCTCTCTCACACACACACACACTATCTCACATCATTGTTTATTTCTCTCACCATTAAATTGTTCTTTCTCATTTGGTTCCCTTTCTCTTTTACTCTATCATTCTCTCTCGCTCGCTCTCTGTTCACTTACTGTTCTATATTTCAAGACTTTTCCCATGTATAATTCAATGAATCCAACAGTATGCACACTAAAAATCAAAATATATGAAAGGAATATTGTATATAACATATCAACAATTATGTTCAATTTATTTATTTTTCTTAGAACAGAAAAGATTGTAATTCACGATGAATACGATTATAAAATTGAAGGTCAAAACCAAATATTAAGCTCAAATAGACTCATAATCTGCTCCTTGAAACTATTAGGATTAAATGTTATGTATTTGTTACATTACCTTCTCCCATTTTTTTAAAACAAAGCATAGTCTATTTTTGAGCCGTGTTTCTTTTGCAGGAATCTGTTATATCATGACTTGCACTATAATTATAAAACACATTATAAAACATGATTTCTTAAATGATTCAAAATCACAATTTTTCCAGTGAAACAATGAACATCTGATGTACATAAAAACATCCTTATGAGTGATGGTTGCTTTGTGGTTCACACACAACAACAAGGACATATCAGGCTTTTTATCAATGGTTGCTTGTTTGTTACCATAGCTTCATGTTATGAGGATTATAATACAAAGGTTTTGATCCCCATGCAGTCACAGTTACAGCAGATGGAGTCTGGTTCTTTGAAGAGGCTATAAAGTAGAACTTCATAGTCCTTGCAAGTATGTCTGTTGAATGAAAAGAAAAAAAGAATGAAAGGAAGCACATTGAAACCTATTTCTGTTAAACATTAAAAAGGTCTTGCATATACATTGTGGTAAAAGTGGAGTGCATAATCAATAACATGAAAGTATTGATGGAAAAATGTGAATGAACAAATGCCACCCTTGAAGTACCTGGGCATACAAACAACAACTTATTCGTACAGCCTACCTGTCAGAAATTCAGCAGCTCAGTAGTTCTCCTTTCCTCTCTCTGAATTTGTCTCAGTTATCAGGGAATTTGCCTTCATTTATTTTACTGAAGAAAAACATCATCCTGAAACAAAAATAAAAAGGTTTATACCTCATTAAAATATCAAAGATCTACTCCATTGATAATTGGTCTTAGTTATAGTGTCAATCATACTTTAAAAAAAAAAAACTTAAGGCGCCTTTCATGTAGGCAGTGACTAGGCACCCCCTCCCCACTCAGTTACTAGTAATCATTGATTTACAGAATGACTACCAGTATCTCTTTTAAAGTCAAGAACAAACATACACATTCTTGCAGTACTATCTCATAAATGTGCTTGCACCAAGTTGTACTTGCCATGTCATGGCCTAAGAAAGCCCCAAGTAGTTAAAGTTTATAGCCAAGTTAGTCCCTTTCCTAAAATCAAGTCTAGAGGTCTACATCTTACTTAGATAACCAGCCGGCAGTTGGCCTAACCTAGACGTAAACGCAGCCTGGAACGGAGATTTTACAAGGCCCTAATCGTTAGAGCCCAACTTTTCCATTTTAGTTCAATCTAACATTAGACCAAAGATTGTCTTTGTTTATGTTATCTCCCAAAATGAGCTTCGTGAAAGGGGAAAAAGGAAAAGGAAAACTTACTGCACTGTACTGTACTGTACTGCAGTCTCTAGGTCTCTAAGTCTTATATGGTCTAGAATTGTTAGGGGTAGGTTTGAATTTTCTTCTGACCAAAATTTGAAAGTAGTTAATCAACTGTTGATTATTTTGTCTAGGCCAAGCTGTCACTGTCAGGAGTGACTGGTAGCCATGGCAATCGAGCTGAAAATATTAGCTCGTGCCCATGTAAAATGAATAAAAGTTTGAGTGTAGATTGCACCTACATTAATCAGACAAAACAATTTTAAATCACTTCATAATGTCCCTGTAGACACATCTGCAGATTCATAAATTCAGCAGATCTTTTTAATAAAAATTGTATAAACATGATTTATTCACGGTAGAGGTTTACGGTACACCATGTGTAAAGTCCTAGAAGGACTAAGGAAAGTGGATAGAAAGACGGACAGTCAACCTGTCCGAAACGTCGAGTCTACTCTCCTGCTCCTGCTCTGCAACTCTACTCAACTCTCCAACTCAATCCAGTCTTCTACTCAAACCTCTCATCCTATCTACAACTTTCTGGTTTACAGTCCTTTTCAGGACTATACTCACTTCTGAAAGATACTCTTCCTTCCAATCTCCACTTTCTCGCCTTTCTATTTTCACTTCTATTTTTCTATCCACTTTCCTTAGTCCTTCTAGGACTTTACACATGGTGTACCGTAAACCTCTACCGTGATTATTCATACCACCATGCAAACCTTCAAACATCATCCAAACAGGATTTAGTTTACAAAATTTAGGCGTAATTACAGCTTTACTCACCAGCAGACTTTCCAAGAAACATGGAGTATCTATTTTTCATGTTCAGGAAATAACTGGTGTTGGGCCAACTGGCTTGGAGGTGCCTTTGTGGGTGAAATCAATAGCACCGACCATATTAACGCCAGGGAAATGGCAGTAATTATCAAATTCATGTTGGGTCTGCACTCTGCAGGACTGCCTCTCTTCTCTTGTTGAAGGAATTGTGATGTATTGCTCTCATCTCCTGGCAATGGCTATTGAGATGGAATTCACAAGGCGGGACACCATAGCTTGGGAGAGGCCTTCTTTTTTCATCCCCATGCATCAATTGAAAAGAACCTAAAATAGCAGAAAATCAAGATGAAAAATATGTTGATATTTGATAAGAAATTACGATTTCTCTTTTTTTTCTGTAGCTAGTTTACTAATAGTAATAGAAAGCTTCAGTCTCTATAATCGTCGGTTGTTCCACTGAGACTACGTCTGGCTCCACTAGACCTCCGGTTATAGAGACTGAACGATCGCCTATACCATCGTATGTTGAAGATATCACGGCTAGATTTTAGCCGCTAGGCCCCTCCCACAAACATGACAAACTTGCCACGGCCGTATTGTTATGCCCCCAAAATCCCCCCAAATGTCATTTTACCTCGTCCATATCCAATTTTAAATTAGGCCTAGGCTATAATACATCGGTTCCACTTACTAACTTGATTGAAATAATCTGTTTAAAGGGATCCGGTAACTTTGTCTCAAATTCTGAAACAAAATTCTGGATTAAGCTCATGATGCAATGATAATTATAAACCTTTAGGTCAGTCAGGAACCCCATGAATTTTACAAGCCGATCGCCTGTCTGATTATCAAGATATTAATGATTGGAATTACAAATTTTGAAAACCGTTCGCCTGACGGTTTTCATAACACTACAGTCTATTGGGGAAAACGAGTATGGTAAAACCGGTCACTCAAAGATTTTTACTTTTTTGAGGCACTTCTTGATCATTTTGAAGCGCAATTTTTTTAGGGCTTCAATAGTACACCATATCACAGACACTGATAACACGTAGGGCCGTATCTCATATTTAACATTGTTAAACGATCCCTTTAATGGTCCCTTTTAAGGAAATTATGGGTCAAAATCGACATCCATGTTGAAAATCTTGCAGGCCGTGTTAAACTCTCGCTGCCGTCAATCTCATCCCTTCTAGTCTACGCCGAAGGCAAAATGATTATGAAGGAAAAACTGTGATAACGCCATTACGAACGTGTAGATGGCTCATACCGCGCGGAAAAGGTCAAATTCTTTTTTTTTTTTTACATGATTTATATTCCTCTTACCGTAAATGACAATTTACATTAATTTCAGTCACTCTTGACCTTTCATAAGGCCGTTAGCGCGCGTCAAAATTCAAAATCCGCGCGTGCTGCTATGGGCAATATAATGCAAATTGGATCAAAAACATGCCATTTTAAAAATCAAAATAGCTCTTCAGATAGTCCATTGATTGACACCCAACTTTTATATCATGGTTGGAAAAAGCATGAGTTGGAGATATGAATTCATGTCTCATTTGACCCTCATGACGTCATCATAATGGCCTCCGAACTCAAAATTTCACTTTGCATATTATGACGTCAGCAGATTTTTTGAAAATTGATTGTATCTCTGTAAATATTTTTCACATTTTGCGTGTATTCTCTATGGGACATGACTTTTTCTCAAAACTGGATTCTACATTCCCGTCTTTCGCGAGCAATATCTCTGTCGTTTCATCTTTCTTTACGCTGAGCTTTGAGTATGTTGTAGCTGAGACAATAAGCTATCACAAGTGTGCCCTTTATTTTTCGATCAGATGCCGGGATCATGCTCATAATTCACTTACAAAGTGGGATTTGAGGATTCCATTTTCCGTTTACGTGTAATCTCTATGGGAAATGTTTTGGTATTAAACGCACTTGACTTCCGACCTCGAGGTCCCTGGTTCGAGTCCGGGCGTCTCCAACAATGTTTTTCTTCACTCTTTTTCTTTTGGACCTTTCACTGTACCATCTCCTTTGAATATTAAAACACGTACAATCGCAAATAATGTAATAAACAACCATATTTACTTTATTATTACCCTATTATCACTTGATCCATTACTTTTTGCGTGTAATCCTTATGGGAGATGACTTTTTCCTCAAATCTGGATTCTACCTTCTTGTTTTTTGCGAGCAATATCGCCGTTATTTTGGCTTGATTTTTGTTGATTTTTGAGTATGTTGTAGCTGAGACTATATACTATCTAAATGTTCTCTCATTTTTTCAGTCTGATGTCATCATGGTCTGTTGATGATAACCATCATCATCATCATGATCATCATCATCATCGCCATCACTATTACTATCAAGTATCAAGATAATCATCATCTGGATCATCATGATGATCATCATTGTTTACATGTCTATATAACTTCTCCCTTTCTCAATATAGTAAATATTATAATCTATCATAAGACTTGAAGACAGACCACCTTAATCGTCCTCGTGACGATTTAAATTCTAGTTCAGATTACTGTTAACTTTCTTTAAGATCCACCCATGCTCATTAATCATCAATAGAAAAAAAACATATTGCTTGTGGGTATATATTTTTTTCGGCTCCAACAAAAAAGGGATGTCAATTTTGTTACAAAATTCCGTAAACAATTGGCTGTTCAGGGATACCTCATGCACATAAAGCAATGCTGAATTTGTTTCGTTAAGCTATGGGAGGTTGGCCTAGGTCCATGCTACAAGAAAAAGTTGTAACTGATTTCTAATTCTTTATCTTTGTAAAGTTTCAGGCTGTCAAAGAGTCATTAAGCTATTTGGTCATAGTTAAAAAAAAACAGTGCCTTAATCAAGTCGGATGAAATTAAATTAAATAAAATCACCACAAAATATTTTCATCATCACTATGTTACGTCAGTAGGCGAGAAAACATTGTCATGATATCATTTTTTCCTTATCTAGAATTGCTCTGTATAATATGCCTGTTTACATTAAAAATCATGTATACTTCGTGTAAAATTTTCTTTGTGCATGGATTGGTCGAGAGCTCTTCACGTGATTAAAATAAAATATTTTAAACTAAATAAGCAACCACTGCAGGTGTGTACGCAGCGGGGGTGGGGGTTGAACCCCCCTCAATTCGTGTATGTGTGTGATTTTTGATGCCCCCCTAATTTTCTTTTTAATAAAAAAATTAAAATTAAAAAAAATTGTACCAAAGGGCGACCCCCCAAAAGTGACCTTACCCTCCGACCCTGATTAACTCACTGCGAAATTTTTGTTAACGGAGAAGGGGGAAAAATGAAAGAGAATTAAACAACGATAGAAGAGACGCGCAAGAGCATGAGGAATTGCATTTCTTGTAAAAGAATAATAGGATAAAACCAGGGGCTTCGCTAGAGGGGGTGTGGGGTGCGACAACCCCCCCCCCCCACACACACACACACACACACACACCAGCCAGGATTTTGTCGGTAAAATTGTGCTGCTGTCGGGAAAAATGAGAATAGGGGGAGGGAGAAAATGAGAGGAAAAGGGAAAGAAAAGATAAAAGTACTTGTGGGGGCGGGGTTAAGCTTTTGGTCCGCTGCCCCCCCCCCCCATACAAAAATAGGAAGTAGTAAAGGACACAAAGGATTTTTTTTTTAAAAATTAAAAAAAGGGCAGAGAAGAAAAAGTAAAACATAAAGAAAAAAGAAAAGAAGGAAGGAAGTAAGGAAGGAAAAAGAATATAACCGATAACAAAAGTATTCCTTTTCACTCATTTTTAATCCCAGCCATTTTATTGGTTCCATCAAGTTAGTGTTTGTACAGTCAAACCATATACAAATTATTTTGGCATTATCATGTTGATCAACTCACTGAACATTTCTTTCTTGATTTGTCCAGAATACCCGTTCATCTCTTTCTCTCTGTGTCTCTCTCTCTGTCTCACCCTCTCTCCCACGTCCCCTCTGTAGCTTCCGTTCTTTCTTTCCTTTGCTGCGGGTGTAATCAAGTGGGTATGCGTGTCCCCCCTCTCTCTCTCTCTCTCTCTCTCTCTCTCCCTCCCTCTCTCTCTCCATGGCTCCCTTCATATTTCTCCCTTCCTCTTCTCTCTGCCTCTCTGTTTCTCTCTCCCTCCCTCCTTCCCTCTCCCTCTCTCTCGCTATCCCCCTCCCCCTCCCTCCCTCCCTCCCTCGCTCCCTCCCTCCCTCTCCCTCTCTCCCGCTCTCTCTCTCCATGTCTCCCATCATCTTTCTCCCCTCCCTCTTTTTTCTCTGTTTCTCTCTCCCTCCCTCCTTGCCATCACAATCAAAACCTGGCCAACTTGTTTGTTGGTAAACAGAGGCTAAATAATACCTTTGCCCCGATAAAACCGTGGAAATAAGATACAAGCAGATTTGCCAATAACATTTAAAGGGCAATTCATATGAAAACAGAAAAAATCGGATAGACAGAATAACCAGGGAGATAGAATAACCTAGTTTTATATAAACCGGACCAGTTATTACATGGCAATAGTATCTGTAGAAACTGACTTCATGTGCTATATCCCCTATTCTGGGGTTGCTGAACACGAATCTACCTGTTATCATTTTCTAAATAACTCATTTGGCCGTTGAAATTGGTAATTATTTCCAGCTATCATTTGATTTTAATAAAAAATCTCATGGTCATGGTCACTCGCTTGAATATGGCGATTGCCATTGTAACTCCAGTCATTTCAGATTTATTTATTTATTTATTTTGTTTTATTTAAAAACAGGGTAGTCTTTTCAGTGCCAAAGGCCTGCTTTACAAAAGAGCCCTGTACATACAAAGGTTTACAAAAAATAGAATACATTGTAGAAAACAAAGACATTATATAAACAACATACTATAAGAGATTGTAAAAAAGAAGAAGAAAAAAAATCAAAAAATAAAACCAATTAAAAACGAGGTCAAAATGAACATAAGGCCTGAAATATTAAACATTTAAGATATTATTGATACAATACAAATACAAATACACATGCCATAAAGAATATACATAAAATCAAACGGGTAAAAGGTAAGATATAAAACTACTACAGACTACACAACTACAAACAAACAAACAAACAAACAAAACTAAATATAATGGTAAAAGTCATGATATAACATTAGGTACCAGTGCATGCATTAAAGTGATTAATTCGGTTTTTGAACATTTTGAGTGAAGTTGCCGTGCGAATATGAATCGGTAGATGCGGGAGCGATGAAAGAAAAAGATATTTTTTTTTTAAATTCAGTCTTGGGTTTCGGGATAAATAAGGGATTTAAGGTAGAATTACGAGTAACATAGTAAACTGGACGTTTACAAGTAAAAGGTTCTAAATAATAAGGGGCTAGATTATTGCGTATTTTGTAGACGAAAATGCAGTAGTGGTAGTTGATTCTTTTTTCAACACTTTGCCATTGAAGACTGCTTAAAAGGGTGTCTTTTGGGGTTAGATAGTCTGCATTAAGGACTAATCTTGCATATCTGTTCTGCGTCCTCTGTAATTTGAATAAATCCTTCTTTTTGCACTTGCCCCAAACAACTGAACAGTAATCTATATGTGGAAGAATGAGGGAGTAATAAAGATGTTTCAGTAGGCGTTGGTTCAAGTAACACTTAATCCTTCTAGTGCATGCAAAATATTACGGGCTTATCTTTTGGGGTATTATGTCCGAGGATCAAATAGACTAGGGGGTGGTCACTTATTAGTCTACTTGAAATTGTTCCAGATTGCTTTATATTGGATAGCATTGAACTAGAAACACAAATAAAATCAATTAAAGTACTACTGAAAGGAGTTATTCTTATTGGTTCTCGGATAAGCTGAGTTAACTGAAAGGTGGAACAAAGTTCATGCACCTTATTTGAAAGGGTATTTTTAGTCAGCATATTGGAGTTAAAGTCACTGAGGACTATAACATTATTTGTAAAGGAAAATACTTGGTCTAGGTTTGATTCTAGGCTTTTGAAAAAGGATATACATGTAGATTTGCGGTATACGACACCTACAAAAAATGGTAATCGATTTCTAACCCTCGCTTCAAATCACATTATTTCCAAATCGTCTCTTTCAAGATCACGTCTTGTAACATATCCTATATTATTTCTTATGTAACACCCAACTCCTCCACATCGACTACCTCTATCCCTCCTTTCGAAGATGTAACCTGGAATGTCTAAGATGTTCGAAGTAAAGGAATCGTCAATCCAGGTCTCAGACATTGTAGAAGCCTAGAAGCTAGTACCACAAATTAGCTTTGTTTTAAAGTAGGCCTACATGTTTAACATGAATAATCAACGAGAAAATCTGAAGCATATTTGACATTTTGTAGAGGGCGCCATAGCAAATGACACTCTGAGACATTGAGCTCGACCATAGACCTACCACCACGATGATTCGATGAACAAGACCGTTTCACAGGTTCCCTCCATCAAAGTTCCTTCAAGATTAACTTTTATTTTGTCTCAAGGAAACCATTAAGTGCAATTCTAATATATTAATGACAACTGGTATATTTTGGTAATTTAACCGATTTCTTTATCATTCACAATGGCCATAGTCTTCTGAGTAATTGACTATGTCCAACTATTAAAGTCCGTTGCGACCAACTTATTCTCTGCTTTTCCTTTGAGCGCTTTCTACACTTTTCTTTAGTTCACGTAAGTGTTCCTTTTTCTAAAGGCGACATGTGGTAGAGTCTCAAACTTTGTTGTTGCAATGTATAAGTCCCAAAGTAGGACACAAAACGGGAATGAAACTTCCAACACGATCGTTAGGACTTTCAAGAATCAACTAATAAAAGGGCAATTTCAATATCTACTGAAATATAGCTATACGACGGGGTTGTATGTGTATGGGAGATATGGACAGAAAGACGGACAGAGAGGAGATAAACGATAGAGAGATCTGATAGAGATTACAAATATAACTTGTTAATGACAGAATGTCTATTAAGTGTGTGTGTGTGTGCGTGTGTTTGTCGTGCGTGCGCGCGCGTGCGTGTGTGTGTGTGCGTGAGTGAGTGAGTGAGAAACTTCCAACCAATAGGCAAGCGCTAGTGTCCCTATAAAGGGACACTAGCAAGCGCCAAGTTATAGCGCCATCACTGGCTGATGAGGAAATATAGATGTTTTGTTAAACTGAAGAAGATATGATATAATAGAGAAATTGAGTGAAAGGTCAAAGTGCTATATCGATAAAGAGGGAAATGATGAGCTGGCAACAAGGAAAGCTAAAGCAAGAGAGGCATAGAGAGAGACGGAATGGGAAGGGAGGGAGTGAAAGAGAGAGAGAGAGAGAGAGAGAGAGAGAGAGAGAGAGGTTCTTTTTCGATTACTCAATGAGTAGCCAGCCTGTAATAATGCGAGTGCTCAGTATAAAACCCTTTTATTTACTTATTCGATTCTTGTGGATTTATACCTGCAAATGGTCCACAGGATTGTAAATATTGACAGATTTTCTATTCATGATCTGATTTATATATACTTTTTGGATTGTGTTATCCGCTCCAAAACAAATTTTGAGGATGTGAGTAAATAGTCATTCCTGCATAACTCCTCCCAAACTAAGTTGTTATGATAAAGATTTGTTCTGCATTTTGGGGGCACTTGATTTTAAATCCCGAAGAAAGAGAGAAAGTTAGAACATTATATTTGTAATATTAAAAAGAAAACCATTTAATTTTCCCCTTGATATAACCACATATATAACAATTTAATGCTAGCTAGCTATAGACTGTCTTAAATAATAGAAAGAGAGAAAGTTAGAACATTATATTTGTAATATTAAAAAGAAAACCATTTAATTTTCCCCTTGATATAACCACATATATAACAATTTAATGCTAGCTAGCTATAGACTGTCTTAAATAGTATCTTCCCTTAAAACATCACAAGCAATACCAGTGATATTATAACTATTTGAAAGCGCTATGACATGTGCATCAACTGGAAGAGTATAAGCGTAACTAATCGAAACACCAACAAATAATATGATATATCTTATTTTAATCTATGTCTTGAAAAACGGAATCTGAAATATCTTGAAAAATGTGGAATTCATAAAATATTTAAATACAAGCTACAAAAAACCATATCATTTCCATTCTTAATTTGTACAAATTAATAACCCCTAATCACAAGCATGCAAGCACATTTAATCCAGTGAACTGATGGGTCTTACCCCAATATCAATTTTCAATGCAGTGTCTAAGTTTGTGGGCGAGGAAAAAACAGTGACCCTTTATTGTGGTCATTTTTGAAAATTTAGTCATTAGATTACACTAAATAAGATATAAAGCATATTATATTAGAGCACCTCGCTGCTTTAGTAATGGTATTTTCAAAATTGTCGGAGGTGGGGGGGGGGCACAGCATTCCCACCCTCTAACGCCTATGCTCCAAGATTTATTTTCGGTATGTAGGCTGTATGTTATTGAGGGCTGAAAACATTATTTCTGAAAAATTGCAAGAGATAATTAGGAAAGAGAGACAGAGAGGGATCTCTTATAACATTCCAGTAAGTTTTGCACAAACATTTTGCTTCCACCAAAGTTTAGAACGATTCACATAGTAAATAGACTAGACATCCGTGTTCGATCTGTTTGAGTTTGAGTTTATTTGATTGCGTTTGTTTCAACTTGAAAGCTATTATACAGGGTATGAACCCAGTTTGATTTCCAAGGGAGACAAAAATGGCGGAAATACAAAGGGTATATAGAGGAGTAGGATATGAATAATGTCACGTATATTGACATTATACCTTTCACTCCCTCACTGGTCAATATAGGAAATTAAACGCTTTATGGCTGTCGGACCTGATAAGGGCGAAGGTCAGATTAAGGCGCTTTGAGGTCTAAATTTCCTAAACTGATAATCTTGCAGCTAGCAAATTATCACTATTAGTCAGACTCACTCACTATGTTTTTAATTGGTCTCTCTTTTCCGGTGTCCGATCGTGAGAGCACACAGAAACGAACAGAATTTGCATACATAGTTACGTACGCATGCACTACCGTACGCAAGTGCTACCTATTTCCACAGACATGCTAGACCCTGATATTTCATACGGTGCGAAAAACTTCGTCGTTCCTTCATTTCTTTTACCCAACCATCTTTCGACGTCGCCACTAAAGAAACCTCAAACTTGCAAGTTTACTTCAACAAAATCGAGATAGGTCACAAAAAGAAAGATGGGCAAGGAAAGAGGATTGGCGTTTCAGGAGGTGTTGAAAAATTGGCAATATTTGGTGATTGTGCTTGTACCCATTATATTCTGCTGGGTACCAATAGTGTTCAACGATTCGGTGAGTAGAAAATAGAAAGCCCCCTTTTATACTTGTCAACAAATCTCTCTTCCATATGGTATGCTTGCCAGTTGCCACATGTTAGGACCTCAATATTTGAATACTCAGCTTTTAATTTTAAGATACTTTATGGAAAAAAGAATGAACTATACTTTCTTATTATTCACTAACACGAATAGAGTATTAAACAACAATAAGGTAAATACCCTTGTCAATGTGTGAGATAATTCTCTACGAAATCATGTGATAGTATTTAAAATGGGTTTTTTTATAAATTCTTTGATGTTGTTTTTGTTCTTACACAGGCCATGTTTCTCATTATAGTTTCTCAATTCCCCCTCAAACTATGCAACCATCGCACAACGTTTAAAAATCGGTATTTTCCGCTTACTTTTTTGCTGTCAAAAACTTGAAACTTCTTACTAAGGTCAAGGTTGGATTGTTCTGGACTGTAGAGATAAACTTGAATTCTCGTCAATATAGAAAATAAATTCTCACAGAATCCAACAAAACTTACACTGAATGTTCAAGATTAAAAATAAATGACATGTGGCAAACTATTTTGGTAGAAAATGTATGAGTGGCTGAGTAATGACCACAGAAATATAAGGAAATCCGGGAAAGTAGGACCGACACCGTGTGCTTAATACAGGTCACTATTTTATGTGCAAATGGAAGTTGTGGTTTTTATCGAAGATGAGGCTCAATAAGTTTGTGTGCGTTTTTTTATTTTATTACACTGGTTCAAACAACCAATCTACTGCAGGAGAAACAAAATGCGATTCCCATACCAAAGCTCAATATCAGCTTTAACTTGAATATGACATAACTAAACTGACACATGTTTTCAGCGCAGTTTGAAAGGTACTCACAACATGAATATCCCAATAGGCTGTCGAACTTTTTAAATACGACTAAAATAGATGAATGACGTTCTATCTGACGAATACAAGACATAAGCATTTATGATAGTGATCACATACCACAAGGGGTCGTGCACTTATGTTCACAAAATGATAGTAAATTATATATCCCAACTCATAAGAGGTGGTTCAGAATGGAGGGGAAAATATTGGACTTTTGCAACATTAAAAGTGGATAATAATTTTCACAGGAAAGGGAAAGTAGACAAAAGTGATTATCACTATTTTGTACTTACTTTGATAGTGCTAAATATAAAGGAGATCAAATTGTAGATGTACTTTGGTATACATTTCACTTTCCTTTTCTGCCTCTGCGCTCTCCTCCCTCCACATATTATTGTGAGAAAAAACAAGACTTGCACTTGTGCTATTTTCTGGTTTCAATTTACCATTCTTTTTCCCTAATTCGTGTCACGTCAAAATTGTAGAACGCTTTCACATTGATAGATACATATCATCATAATCATATCAACAAAAACATTATTAATATTACTTGAATGTTGTATATAATTATCATTTTTTTGTTGTTTTTTTTTTGTATTAATGATCTACATTGTATTTCTATTCATAATTTATCAATTTCATTGTACTGAATTTAATAATGTTCATAATCATGTTGAAAATGTATACAATCCAACCCTTTGGTTGCTATGAATGAATAAAATAAATTAAAAAAATATCAATATTTTAGGAGCGATTTCCCAGATATGACACAATCTAATCCATCTTTCTTCATTCTCTATGTAGCTCTCCCTCAATCTTTCTCTCTTACCCCTCCCCCTCTTTCTCTCTCTCTCTCTCTCTCTCATTCTCTCTTTCTCTTCGTCCTATACTCTTTTCCCCCTTCTATATAGCCCTCGATCGCGATCTCTCCTTTTCCCTCTCTATATCTTTCGCCAGCACTCTTTTACTCTTCCTATTTTGTATTTGTTGTACAAACCTCCTCGGTTTCTGTTTAATTTTTTCTTTCTTTTGTCCTCTTCACACACATCACACGCACAGTCTCTCTCCCTTTCTCTCTCTCTCTCTCTCTCCCTCTATCAAAACATTTGTACACCGGGACAATGAAAATCAGACACTCGGCAAACTTTCAACTGTTGACTTCGCCAATTCTTACATAATGTTTTTTTTACCGACTCATCGAAAGGAAATCAAAGATTTTTGTGTGTAGATCAATACCATTCAGATAGAAACTGTGCTACCATAATATACTCGTTTTGTCATAAATTTGGTGGTGGGTGTGACCACCATGACCGTTACCATGGTAAATAATCGGTTACAAATCAAGAAAAAACGGAATTTTATAAATACCACATAATAATTGAACAACATAAAGACAAATGAAAGCATCTAAATCAAAGTATTTGAGCTTCCAGTTTGACTGCATTGTAATCTGAGCCATTTGAGGTCACGATAGGTTAGACAAAAATATTGTTAGTATTGAAAAGGTATAATAAGAATTTACAATTTAAGGAAAATAATGCTTTAGCTTGTAATTCACAAACCGTTTGAAGTTTTCTTTTGTATATCAGTATACCACATGGTTTCACTCACATCCTTCTGCAAAAATAAACAATATAATCAACCAAGTGGAATCAACTGCAAAACGAATTTATCATGCGTCCTGAAATATTAATTTTCTACTGCTTGTCATAGTAGTATTGAAGAACAGCAATGGCGAACGATTGTCGCTAAGATTCAGTAATCGTTGCTTAGATTGCTTTTCCCTAAACAATTACCATGAGACATAAAGCTAGACAGGACTATAATCGACAAAAATGATATTGTCTTAAAAACATTCAGAAAACATTAGAATTAGAACGAATAAGACATAATGCGACCATGTTAACAAATTTATTATTTCCATGTTAATCACCCAGTACCAAATAACCGAACAAAACTCAAGCCAGATGCTAATAAGGGTAAACTTAAAAACAATAATTTATGACATATTGCTTATTGTCATGATCTCAACTGATTTCTTCTTTATATTTTACCTTACTTAAAAATATATATATTCTAATGTTTCTTCTTGATAATATTTCAGCAACGAATTGAGAGTTTGGTAGTAGTTTTTAATGTAGTATAGCATCAAAACATGGGCTTATGAGTCATGACGTATTGCAAAAGATAATCAGGATAAAAGGATCGCGATACCACTAATACTAGGTCTACTATGTACTACTACACTACTGCCATTGACGATTATGCTGATGATGCTGATGATAATAATGATATAATAATGATGACGATATCTATAATAATGATAATAACAATAATGATAATAATAACAATAATGATAATAATAACAATCATTACCACCATCACCATCATCATCAACATCATCATCGTCATATTCAGCATATTCATATTCAATATAATGATAATAATAATAATGATAATAATAATAATGATAATAATAATGATACAACTACTACTACTTCTACTACTACTATTTATACTAGTGATGACGCTACATAAAATAGTACCAAAATGTTGTTTGTTGTTGTAAAGAAATTGTTGGCTTGCACTCATTAGATTAAGATCGTATGCTCGGTCTTGGAATTGAAAACAGAAAAATGGGATCTACAATAACAACAATCGAAACCAATTGAAACCTCTTCCAGAAAGCCTAACATTTACAAATGTTTTTTATTCAAATATCATTATAGAGACGATGAACAAATAAGAATAATACTAAAACATCGTCGTTAATGGTGAGAATGTTCACTTCTATCTGTCTCTGCTAATTCCTGCGAACTGTGAAATCAACTGTAAATTAAACTATCACGAGTCCCTAAAAAGTACATTGCTATTCCATGGCAGGGTTGTATTGAAGAGCAGCAATAATTGTTGCTAAAATTCAGCGACAATTATTGCTTTTGGGACTTAAAGCTTTATCAAACTCTGATCGACTAAAATGATATTGTTTTGAAAACATTTAGAAAACATTGGAAATAAAATGAATAAGACATAAATGTGATCATGGCTGTCGAGGATGACGAACTTGATTTGAAATTCTCGTAATTGGAAGCAAAATTTTGAAACTGATTGGACAAAGTTATTTTAAAAAAAGAATGACCAAGGACGAAATTGACTATAAGATGTGCCAGATTAGAGAAGTTTCAGGACGCAAAGGAATGAAAACAGTATGAAAATTGATTAGAAAGGTGTTTAGTGGACAGGAAAATCTAAATATACATGGTCGTTTATCGTGAGAATATTCACTTCTCTCTCCCTTTCTGTTAAATCCTCCGAACACAGGTTGGGAACATTTTGTTTTTAATTTCCCTTCATTATGAAGATTAAAAGAATTGTGATAATATTAGACTGAAAACAAGATCACAAAGATATTTATCAGCTGCTGAATATTCAAATAGCATTATACAGGGCGTATCATAATAAAGGATATTGAAGTTTAATGACGATTTATATGAAAACTACTGATTTCATAATCAAGCATTTTATGACTGTTGTAAAGGACAGAATGTCCTCTTGTTAATGACACCCCGATCATACTACTACTGTCACAGTTGACTGAATAACAAAGCATTGCTGTCCACCATGTGAAAGGTGCACTGTGACAAGTTAGCATTCACAGATAAATTCTAAAGATTAGTGCTTGTGTCAGCCCAGACATATTGAAATGCTGAACAATGAGTGGATTATGTGTCTAATGTTATCAAACTTGGCACAGTGCACCTTTCACATGGTGGACAGCAATGCTTTGTTATTCAGTCAACTGTGACAGTAGTAGTATGATCGGGGTGTCATTAACAAGAGGACATTCTGTCCTTTACAACGGACATAAAATGCTTGATTATGAAATCAGTAGTTTTCATATAAATCGTCATTAAACTTCAATATCCTTTATTATGATACGCCCTGTAGAGCACTGTGGTATATTGGTGAGGGGCCGAGGGCTATTGACTTTCATACAAAAGGTTCGTTTCTTATCAGTGCTACTGCTTACATTCTTGGGCAAGGTGTTTTACCATAGACGTAATTACGTCTATGGTTTTACCCACACATTCCCTCTCGATCCAGGTTGTACCAGGCAACGATGGAGTAATAACAATATAGTAGGGGTCGCACGAAGGGCAGTATCAATAACAATATTCAAGTTTTCAAGTTCAAGTTTTATTTATGTGTTTTATAATGTGTCTCTTCCCTGGCTAAAGTAGACCATATTTTTACAGTTATGTGATAAAAAGTATCATAATCTGTCTGTTTATTTTGCAAGGCAAGAGTCGGGAACAATAATAGCGACTGATCAATAGTGCGTGCAGATCGCTATAAATACAGAGTATTAATTATCATTTTCATGACATCGTGTTTTTCATGTGATATTTACCCATCGTATATAGGTTTCACTATAAGGCAAGTAAATACTCTTAAAGAAAATCAGGATAACGGAAAACATGTGTTCATCTTCCCAATTAAGCTCACGTTGAGGTAATTATACCTAGCTATATTGTTTATTGTTCCATCGTGGGAACCAAAAGACAATTTCTCCGTTATGGCAAAATCAACAAATCATCTTTCTTGTCTATATGTTGTTTTCATAATAAGAATCACTTTTTTAAAAGTGGAAACCACGTTTAAAATATAGGAATCCACAATCGTTACCTGAAATAACTCAAATATTAATTATAAACAAACGGACAGATAAAGTGATTACTATTAAATTAGATGTTTACTATTTGTTTCGTGTCGTTGAAAATCATAGTATTCCCTAAAATGCCAATATTTCTTGATTCATTTTCATTATCATAACGGCCCAGCGCTCACTTCTATTTTTTTAGGATGAGGGGTCTGATTCAAGCTCTGGTAGGGCTCTCAGGATGATACAGCGATCAGAATTATTATTTTATTTAAGACACACCTTAAAAATTGCCTATCGCACAAACTTGGATAAAATAGTGTCCTTGCGATATATTAGATGTGCCCTTTCGTGTTCATTCTCTTCTGTTATCAAAATTATACAAAAGGAACCTGAGTGTTGTTAATCATTCTGGTGCAATTAAGGTTTCATATTATATATCGTCGTCTGAAATTGGAATGTAATCAATGAATAGTTAATCATGGAAGTAGTTTTTCTTCCCTTATAGATGGGAAAGACAAATTTGCACTCGCTTTCAGAATGGGAGACAAAGGCAACATACACATTATTTTCCAATATATTTCAAAGTTTTCGTTAATGTGAACTCCTACATTGAATAAAATCATGTCATCTGAAAACGAGAACTATCCAACTCTACTTCTTATAATAGTTTCACGGATATCATAACCCATTGAAAGAAAAACATATGCAATTGATGTTTAATTTATGGATCATCAAACAACATTATTTATGGTATGAATATGTGATCTAAATTCAAAACACTCGTTGAACAAATACAGGTACCTCGTATTAGGCGCTATAAAAAAAAATTTTTATTATCACCAATGTTACCTTTTCGTATTTAAAATAAATTTATCGTTCGGAAAATCATTTACGATTAAAAACACGAACATAATGTTATTGTTTTTAAGATAGTAGACCTGTGGCATGAACTTTAGATTATTTATATTCATTAATTTTTAACATTGGAAGATAGTCTTGAAAAATTACCACGATCAGGGGGAGCAAGTAATTTATCTATATTGCGTACTAAATATTATGTGCCTCATGTGTCGTGGTCGTTAAGATTTTTTTTATTGATTTTCAACATTTTTCTAGTCGAAGGAGCCTACGTCAAAAGTATCATTTCATAGCAACAGCAAACCGGATATACAGTGAAGTTAAAGCAGATGCAATTGGGTGCTATACGCCCCCCTCCCCCCACCACCTTTTCACTAATTTTTGTCGACACCCTTTTGGAAAAATGGAAAGTGACATGCAGGCAAACGGGTTAAGATGAGCACTTAATTCTGAAATATTTCTCGCTTCTTTTTAGAGAGAATTACTAATAACAAATAATATTCGGACACTGCAAATAAAATTACAATATGAAATGACAAAAATATGAATTTGAATTGAACTCAAAAAGCCCGTTTGAGGTCTGGAAGGCAATCATCCCTTTTTTCATCTACATCCGATGAAATATTGGGGAAAGGTCAAAGTCATTTTGTCAATGGGAATCTGTCATTATTTTCCCCGAAAAAAAAACAGAAACTCTTTTTTATTTTTCGTAATGTAAAGCCAGACCACTTCCTATGAGCATGGTGAGGTCTTTTTGCTTCAAGTGAAAAGGGGGACTCAAATATTCTCAGGGGCGTCTAACAGCTATTTCCCGACATGAATGTTTGTCATTTTATTGGTTTTAAGTACATTCATGCTCCTAAATGACAATGTTTGGTGGTTTGGGTAGCTATCAACATTTATAATTCGTTCAATTAAATCAATAACATAAAATAACTACGAAATTGCCTACTTTTGCTCCTGTAGATTGGCCATATGGCCTACTGCATAATCATCATGGCGCTGTACTGGATGACCGAGTGTCTGCCCCTGGCTGCCACCGCCCTCCTCCCTATCCTCCTATTCCCGCTTTTCGGTATCCAAAAGTCCTCGGATGTTTGCAGCAACTACCTTACCGATACCAACACGGTCTTCTTCGGGGGCTTGATGGTGGCTGCCGCCGTCGAGCACTGGAACCTCCACAAGCGCATCGCTCTCAGAGTTCTCATGCTTGTTGGTGCTAAACCAAGATGGTGAGTGAGGGGTGGAGGGGTGGAGGGGTGGAGGGGTGGAGGGGCGGAGGGGTGTAATGGTGGGGAGGTAGAGGGGTGAACGGGTGGAGGGGGTAGAGGGGTGGAGGGGTGGTGAGGGTTGGGGAGGGGTGAGGAGGGGCGGGGAGGGGTTACTCAAATTGGGGTTCGCTATATAGACAGGGGCGTCGCCAGGATTTTATTCTTTATTTCTTAGGACGGTACATGTTACTATAGGCGCATTCCTAGTCCTCGTTGGTGCACACACAAAAAAGATGGCAAATGGAGAGGAGGGGGTCCTTACATTGGGTACGGCTAGACAGTACAAGCGTTATTTTTTTTCTTCCAAAGCGGCACATGGGCCGGTCTCATTAGCGTTGTAATAACTTTTGTTTAAATTGCATATTGTAGTATAACCTCGGAAGTCACGGTAGGTTAAGTGTACTCATTCCATGTTTCTGAGGAGAGAACGAATACATCTTTCCCTTTATTTCCAAACTCTCTTTATTCCTCAGTAACGTGTCGAAAATACAATAACACAATGTGGATTGAGGTATCTTTCATTCAAAAGTCCAGCCGGCGCTTTGATGGAAGTGTAAGATTTTAACCTGGAAAATGTGACCCAAATATAATGCCTTATTTTCTCAAGGTTTCCAACTGAACAATTCGTGTTTGAAGAATGTATGGTTTCATGAGATCCAGGCACGCAAACAAAACAAACAATACCACCCAGCCCCCACCCCCCCCCCAACAAAACAACAAAAAAAGAAAAAGAAGAAGAAGAAAAAGAAGGAGAAGGAGAAGAAGAAGAAGAGAAATGAAAAATAATTTCAACGATCAATCGCACAAAATGAAATTCCACCATTCATGTGAACTGGAACATATCCCCTCCCATTCAGACGCATCGCTCTTGTATACGTTTCATTCATTTTTGGGTTGCCCCCCCCCCCCCCTACGGCAAATGGCAAATACAATCGCATGTTTATTCTTTTTTTTCTCCTCAAATGTTCTCGATCATAGCTGTGCTACCATACACATGGCATTAAAGACCCTGTCTTGTGATCAATGAATGGTTTTTGTGTCTAAAATCTACCGCGTCTGATGAGAAGATTCCTATTAAAGGCCTTAGGAACTGGCTTTACTTGATGCGGGGAATATACCTTTGACGCACGATATTGAGTGGATTTCTTGAGAAGATGTGCGGTTTTAACGCACTGTAAAAGAGTGATACAACCTTTTTTTTTATCAAAATGATATGAGTAGCTGGAAATAGATTAATTTATCCACTAACCGTTTGTTTGGTTGTTTGATGGGAAATATAAATAGTTTTAAAGAAAATGATTCTTTACCATGGCAACGACTGAAGACGTCATTTAGAAGAATGGCAAAAGATGGATTCATGTTCATCAGCGGTAACCCGACACATGCTCCGCCGACGATTGCTCCGCGACATTTACTCCGCAAAACGCGACAATTGCTCCGCGACATTTGCTCCGCGACATTTGCTCCGCCGACATTTGCTCCGCCGACATATGCTCCGCCGACATTTGCTCCGCCGACAATTACTCCGCCGACAATTGCTCCGCCGACATTTGCTCCGCCGACAATTGCTCCGCCGACAATTGCTCCGCAAAACGCGACAATTGCTCCGGTGAAAAAAGCTCCTCGAACGACAGTTGCTCCACCGACAATTGCTCCGCCGACAATTGCTCCGCAAAACGCGATAATTGCTCCGGTGACATTTGCTCCGCCGACAATTGCTCCGCCTGAAGCGACACTTGCTCCGGTGACAATGTTGATGATAATAATAATAACTAGATTTGTAATACTTGTTTTGAACAAGTATAGGTGGGCTGGTCTAACTAAAATTTGAGACAAAATAAAGGGCAAATTTAAGATAGCTTATTGTCTCAGCTACAACATACTCGAAGTTCAGCGTAAACGAAGCTAAAACGACGGAGATTTTGCTCGCGAAAGACGGGAATGTAGAATCCAGTTTTGAAAAAAGTCGTGTCCCATAGAGAATACACGCAAAAAGTGAAAAATTGATATTCCTCCTTTAATCGCAAAAATACGTCATGATTCCTTTGTCGAAATGAAAAATCATGTCAATTGCATTAGGAGTGAATTATCTCAGCTAGACGTATCGAAAGTTGGAAGAAAATCAATCAATATTTACAGAGATACAATCAATTTTCCAAAAATATGCTGATGTCATAATATGCAAATTGGAATTTTGAGTTTGGAGGCCATTATGATGACGTCATGAGTTAATTGAGGGTTAAATGAGACAAGAAATCATATTTCCAATTCATACTCTACAAAATATGAAACAAAATTTGGGGTCACCTTACATCCTAAAGAGCTACAATGGATTTGGTATAGGCATGTTTTAGCCCATATACCGTAATGCTATGTATTACAAGAGCTCGCACGCACGGACGTGTATCTTAAACGGACGCTCACTCCGTTATTAATGGTCAGAAATATGTTAACAAGGTATCAAAATGCTTGGGAAAATGTGCCAAATATGATGACAAAGAAAAATTGGCGATTCTTTGTTGCAAAATGCCAGAACGCGCGAAAACACGCGCGCATGCGCGTGTGCGAGATTTTTTGTAAAATGCTTAAAATGGCCTAAAACGTATGTAAAATTATTTTGAGACTATTTTGAGCATTTTAATATTTTGCGCGCACACTGACGCGCGGACGTACGCGCACGAGCGCGTTTTTTGACCTGAAATTGACCGGACGAATATTGACCTTAATCATGATAAATATGAATCAAAAATGGCTTTTGGTTATGAAGATATGATCATGAATTGATTTTCAGAAAAATTTACAAAATGGCGCCTAGATGACGTCATCAGTGAAGGTCATAGTTGAAAACGTTATTGTGTTTTGTACATATGCCTATACATATATGTGTGCCAAATTTGAGCCATTTTCAAGTAATCGTGCTTACAAAAAAGTGGTTTGAAATAAGTAAAATAAATAATAAAGGCAATTCTAACGAAATTATAAGGTGTTCTGTACGCTTTACAGCCCACCTGATAATAAAGGCAATTTTAACAAAATTATAAGGTGGTCTGTATTAGATACAGCCCACCTGATAAATAAATAAAGGCAATTCTAACGAAATTATAAGGTGGTCTGTACGATATACAGCCCACCTGATAATAAATAAATAAATAAACAAAGGCAATTCTAACGAAATTATAAGGTGGTCTGTACGATATACAGCCCACCTGATAATTACAAAAATAACATTAGTAACACCACCAACCATAATAATCATTCTTGTCATTATTATTGTGATACTGCTTCTAATAATTCTCCTACTACATGTACTAGGAAGGAGGGGAAGAGGAAGAATCTTATTGTTTATTTTTTGTATTATCGAGGCATACAAATGCACAGGGAGGTAAAAGAGGGACAAGTAAGGCGACGAAGAGGGAGAGAGAGGGAGAGAGAACGAGAGGGGATAGCCTATGGCCCGGGTTCAAATTCAGTTCTCTTTAATTTATTCGACCCAGTTCTGATGATCATAATTTTATCAACCATGTAATTGCCATGTGTACGCCACACCGAATAGCACTAGCTCACATTTTGTTATTGTTGTCAAGAACTTATTGGCATGCAGCCAGTAGATTTTCATCATGTGTTTGATCTTGTATTGAAAAAAAGATCAAACACATCATCATAATCTACAGAGTGCAACCAAAAATTTCTTAACAACAATTGAAATTTCTTCCAGGAAGCCTTACACTAAAAGGTGTTTTTGATTCAAAGAGCATCGTAGAGACGATGAACAAATAAGAATAACAATAGCCTACATTCACTTCTATTTTCCCCGCCAAATAATCCGAACAAAAGAATCAACCGAGGGTAATCAACTTTGAAACGAATGTATCATGAGTCCTTGAAAAATTAATCAATACTGCTTGACAAATATTATTGAAGAACAGCAAAGGCGAACGCGAAAGTCGCTACAATTCAGAAATCATTGCTTGCATTGCTTTTCTCTCAAAATTACCGTGATATATCAAGCTACATAGAACTATGATCGACACAAAAGATATTGTCTTGAAAACAGTCAGAAAAATTAGAACTTTAATGAATAAAACATAATGCAAATGAATAAGACTAGAATGAATAGGACACAAGTTAATTTCTACCATTTAAATCATCCAGTACCAAATACCTGAGCAAAATTCGAACCAGATGCATTTAATGGTAAACTTAAAGACAATGATTCATGACAATTGTCAATTGTCATGAGTTTATCGTCTAGACGTATTGCAAAAGATAATCAGAATAATAATGATCAGAATGATATCTCTACTATAAGGCCTAATTCTACATGTACTATACTACACTAGTGCCATTGTAGATTATGCTGATAATACAGATGATAATAATGATATAATAACAATTATAATAATACTATATACTTATACTAATTGTCATCAAAATCATCATGTTCATATTCATCATAATAATAACAATAACAATGATTTTAATAATTACAATAATAACTTATCTTAACGATAATAATCATGATAAGGATAATAATCACAATAACAAACATAATAATTTCAAAAATAACATTAGTAACACCACCAACCATAATAATCATTGTTGTCATTATTATTGTGATACTGCTTCTATTACTACTCCTACTACATGTACTAGGAAGAAGGAGGGGAAGAGGAAGAATCGTATTGTTTATTTTTTGTATTATCGAGGCATACAAATGTACAGGGAGGTAAGAGAGGGAAAAGTAAGGCGACGAAGAGGGAGAGAGAGGGAGAGAGAACGAGAGGGGGTAGCCTATGTCCCGGGTTCAAATTCAGTTCTCTTTAATTTATTCGACCCAGTACTGATGATCATAATTTTATCTACCATGTGATTACCATGTGTACGCCACACCGAATAGCACTAGCTCAAAAGATTTTACACACTAATATATATATATATATATATATATACTATGGATTGCA